GTTTCATTTATAACCAAACATCATATTTTATAAAGTCTTCATGTGTAAAAATCTGACTTTGGAACGTAACTGAAGATAAATGAAGTGAAGTAAAAAGAACAAGATCTCCCGCTGAGATGGAGAAAGCGGCATGAAAATGTAAAAGTAAAGTAGAAGTACCTCTAATTTGTACTTAAGTGCAGTACTTGAGTGCATGTACTTGGTTAACGTCACCACCGGGGGCAGTGGAGTCTGTCCAGTAAGCTTCCTCATCTGGAATATATCTGGGCATTTCGTGTGATCACAGTTCGTAACGTCTGAACGTTTCTTCAGCTCCTGATGTGTGAGCCTGAGCTCCGATTGGTGGCTCCGTGTGTCGACTGCAACACACAGAGTCTGTCCGACTCTTCATGGCTCCTCCTCCTCTGTCCCCCGGGGGCCAAACACGTTCATGTAACTTTAACCCTTTCATCAGTGGATACGTGACGGGCTCGTCTCTTACCGTCTGCTGCTCTTGTGCAGCGTCATGTTCGCTCCCTTGTGTTCAAACGTAGCCAGAAGAGATTTCTGTTCATCGTTCAGACAGGCGCTGGACTTACTGTCGTGGACCAGGATGTCGCACATCAGCTGCATCTGCCTCTGCTGTGAAGCACAGAGACAAGACAACGGCAGCTCAACGCGTGTCATGATGGCGGCGCTACAGGAAACATCAGAGTCATTGTGAAGGAAAGGGTCGATCCTCTGCTTCTGTGAACCGGGTCACGTTCAGCGCGTTTGTGACGGAGCGTCTTCGTCATCGCAGTGAAACTATCAGACTGAAGGTGGACAGGAGACATGCCGAGGCTACATCCTCACGAGCAATTAAAACCCCGGAGTTTAAAACCAGAACGGGGTCAGTCTGGACAGGAGGAAACAGAGCGGAAGGTCTGAGGTTTAAAACGGAGGTGTGGGAGAGTGGGTGGAGCCTCAGGGCCACGTTGCCAACTGACTAAAAGACGGATTTCTTATTTGTTGAGTAAAATATTACGTCCAATTGAAATCATGTCCTTTATTGTAGTCAAAATTAACGTAAACATGTTTTTAAGTGTTTTAATAAAAAGAAAAAGGTGTTTGAGGACGGCTGGAGGGGCGTGTCCCTGGTTCAGTTTGATTGACAGCAGAGTGTCGCAGTGAGGAAGAGAGACAGTGAAGTAACAGCTGGGCGAGTTCAGTGCAGACGAAATGTGGAAAAACGGTGGTTCCCTGAACACCCCGCTGTGGACGCAAGCGCACTGCATTTTCCGTTTTGTTTACAAACTTGTCGCCGCTGATTGGGTAACACCTGAGACACGCCCACCGGAAAGAAGAAAACACACCTCGAAGCCCGTTGCAGAACGTTGCAAGAGATTTTGGGATTGAACGCGCCCCAGCTGAAGAGTAATGCTGCGTTCCAGGCAACTCGGAACTTTCTGAACTCCCACTAGGAAAAGAACCGTGAACATGGAGTCAGAGTTCTGCTCCGAGGTTCCCCGACGTGACGAGAAGCAGCTGAAGGAACGGCAGCACATGTTGAAAATGTTAAACCACCCGCTGACGCTCAACATGACGTTCGTTCATTAACACACACTGCTCTGCGTGTTGGCTGACGTAGAAACCTGTTGCCAGGGTTACCAGGCAGAAGGTCGTCTCCTCTGAACTGAAATGTTAAAACACGTCAGGACAGAACAGTTACTGACTTTGGAGGATTTCCACCGGGTGGAACACAGATCTCTTTTTTTACAAATAAACATGAACATTTTTAACAAATGACTTCAAAACTCCATCTGACGTCTTCTCTCCAGTTAAATCGAGAGGTAGAAAACATATCTTAAGCAAATTTCTCCCCCGGAGGAGGGAACAGGAAGTGCGGACCGGACTCACCAGGTACTGGTAGTCTCCTTCGACCTTGTAGCGTTTCTTCATCTCCACGTCCAGCTGGTTCCGGGCGTGTTTCAGTTTGACCTCCAGGGCGGCTTTGGCCACGTCGGACTTCACCAGCAGCTCCTTGTACTTCTTCATCTCCAGCTCGGCGTGCAGCCACTGCTTCCTCATCGCCTCGCAGGTCTTCGCCACCTCAGCCAGGCCTGAAAGAGCCGCAGACAGAACTCTGAATCTGTGTCTCCAGATACTCCAATCCCCATGAGCCTCAGCGGCTCACCGACAGACACTGAAGCTCTGTGATTGGCTGTTAGTACAAACACTACTTCTGTTAATTAACGACGTTTTCACCGCTGATCGATCAGTTCTCTGGTCTTTAAAGTGACGTCCGCTAAAGTCAGAGGAGCGAAGGAACCAGGAACCATTTGAGAGGCTGGAACGAGAGTTTCAGACTCAGGAAGGAGGAAATAGTTGGAGATTGATTTAATAGTTGACGGCTAATCGATTAATTGCCGTACTGTGAGCACCACAACTACCGCGTTTGTGCAGAACTTTAGGAGGAAACGTGAGACAATAAAGAAACAACTTCCTGAACACCGGGTCTAAGGTGGATCTCAGGTGTGACCTGGTCCTGGGTTGGTGGTGTTGAGGGCTCACTCAGATCACAGCTGATGGCGTTCTCCTCCATAGTGATCCTCGAGAGACAAAGAGCCAGCAGCTCCTCCACAAGGCGCCGGAACTCCCCCATCAATGTCCGCTCTGACCCCCCCGCCTCCGACTGCAACATTAAAAGAAACAACAAGACTCTTATTTTGGTAGTTTGGTCCAGACTTCCTCCAGCTTCACTCAGTTAACACAGAATTTAACAGCTGTTTCACAAACCTTCAAAGTAAAAGCCTGCAGCAGCAGATTGAATCCCCCCCCCGGGTCCTGCTGAGTTACTGCAGACGGACACAAGGCCCGTGACCCTCATGTTGCACCACGCAGAGACACCCATGAAGCCCCCCCCCCCCTCTGTGCTCGCGGATCTCTTTCAGCTCCGATGAAGCTTGAAAACATTTCTGACCGATTGGCTGTGCGCGCTCCCGCGAGGCGCACGCGGTGATCTGCGGGATTAAAATCTGGATCCTCAGAAACCCTGAAACTCTGAAACCCTCGGGGGAAGCAGTCTGACACGTGCTCAGAACCAGAAAGGGGGACCGGCTGGAGGTCCGACTCACCTGAAGAGGAAGCTGCAGATCGTCAGCTGCTTCACTGATTTGTCCCGCCGCGTCCGAGACCACGTGACCTTACCTGCTCAAGGCCTGTTGCCCGTGACGTCATCAGCGCGGCTGCTTCGTCACGTGGTAAAGAAATCAATAAGAGGAACCGGTTTGTTTTTCTGTCTGAAGATTTAAAGAACTGAAATCACCTGATAAAAACGAACAAACAGCTGCTGAAGCACAAAAACCAGCATCAGCTGTCTCGTCTGAAGCTGCAGCAGAAATGATGGATGGATTTATTCTGTCTTTCTGAAACCGGTCATGAAGAAAATGAGCCTGGATGAATGGGGACAACATGAGACCGGTCCAGTAGCGAGCAGTGAAGCGGTAAACCTGGTTTCAGCCGGCTCAGATCAGTCTGACAGCATCATGGAGAGGATGCTTCTCTAAAGAGTTTAACCAGAAACAGTCGCTGCATCGCGCTCATCCCCAGACTCCACCGACAAAAGATCAGCAGATTTAGTCGGCTTCTGTCAGAGTTCATAGACCGACTCACTGTTTTAACCACACCCTCGACCTTGTTTTGGTGTATGGTATTGAAATTGAACATTTAGTGGTGTTCCCACAGAATCCCTCTTTGTCCGACCACTGTTTGATAACTTTTGAGTTTGTATTGCTGAACTACTCGCCATTGGGCAAAAATTTCTATACAAGATGTCTGTCTGATAGTGCCATAGCTAAATTTAAGAATGCGATTCCATCAGCTCTAAATACATTATCTAGTCACAAAGTAACGGACTCCTATGCTAATTTCAGTCCCTCCCAAATCGATCATCTTGTTGATAGTGCTGCAGGCTCGCTGCGAATGACACTCGACTCTGTAGCCCCTCTAAAAAAGAAAATACTAAAACAAAGACGGTTAGCTCCATGGTATAATACTGAAACTCGCAAATTAAAGCAAATATCACGGAAACTTGAGAGGAATTGGCGTTCCACCAAAGTGGAAAATTCTCGTTTAATTTGGCAAGATAGTCTTAAAACTTATAGGAAGGCCCTCCGTAATGCCAGAGCAGCGTACTACTCGTCATTACAGTACATAGTTTCCAGTTTAGATCATCAGATATTTTTCATTTGATTTTCATTCATTAGCAACAGCTGTTCCTCCTGAGGTCCACACAGACACACAACTCTATACAGTGCAGGACACAATTACAGAAAGTCACACACACCAACACATAACCCAGCTCTCATCAGGAAAAATCACTCAACAGAACAAACAGAAGAAAAAGAAAACAATAGATGTTATCTAGACATTACATTGCATGACCTAGAGTCTAAGCATCCTGGGATGAGGAAAGCCGTCTCGCCAGGAGATCTTGTTTCCATGACATTTTAAAGCCATGTTTACTGTTCTCCAGAATAACATGCTCAGGCAGAGTGTCTCTCCGTTGCAGTGTTCTTCATCACACTGGTTTTCCTTTTGGCTAGTGGTTGGGTTTTGGGTAGATATTACTGGAACGTTTCATTGGCTCTAAGCTGGTTTAAGTCCTGTTTATCACTTTGTACATGTTAACGATGAGTCCTCCATGCACGCCAAAGTTAGTCACGGAGATCCTCTTCACTTTATATATGCTGTTAAAATATATATTTCCATTATTATTATAACTTCCAGTGAACCCAAACAGATATTACTGGACATCAACAGATGCAGAGAGCAGCTCTGGGTTTCACCTCCTGCTTTGGTGTATTAGAGACGTGTCAGACTGATTTCATGAACTGGCACAAAAGTTTGCTCCAGAGAAAGTCTCACTTTAGTGATCCTCGGGCGTTTCCTCTGGCGCCACCATGACGCCCTACTGGCTCGATTGTGCTGACTCTCTGTAGTTCATCATAGCGGTGTATAAAAAAGACATCTGACTCTACTGCGTTTCTCTTCACACTTTATTCATGCAGCAGGAAGTAGTTTCACATTCACCACAGAAACAACAACAACAACAACAACAGCAGATGCACCGTCACCACAGGATCCCCTCTTCAGATACACACCGCCATGTCTGCACAGGATCACTGCGTATAGAAAGAGCTCCATGTTGGCTCCGGTGCACCTGTGAGGACGTCTACAGGAGCAGGTCAGCCTGCAGGAACCAGCCGCCATGTTGGAGCTCAGTCTGTTCTGCAGGGATTAATAAGGAGTCGGCTGGTTTCAGTCTATATGCTAAGCTAAGCTAACGAGCTGCTGGCTGTAGCTTCAGAATTACTGTATTGACCTGATAATGGTATCAAAATCAAAATATCCCACTGGTCACAGAACGTCTCCGTCTTCTTTTATGACGTCTGAACATTTCGCCAGACCTGCAGCACCAACATGGCTGCCGTGGACTGCGCAGGGCTGAGCTGTGTGGGAGGACTACGATCACCGACGCTAACTCTGCCAGGATACAAAAACTGTAAAAAATACAAAATGATCATGGTATCAAATGAAGCCTTTACAAATCAAATACAGTTAAAAATCCCTTCAGAGGTCACAGAGCTGGAAGGGGAGGCGGTCTGCAGCTGTGACATCACAAGCTGAAAACGGGGTCAGTTTGTCTGCATCCTGTAGGGGTCATGGTATTGCAGGGTTTGCTACTTGCAGGCTACCACTGGATATATTAGCACCATTATTACAGTTGATAGTTCACAAAAAGTCTAATAGTGTCAGTCTGAAAGTTTAAATCTGGTTTCTGAGAAAACTTTTAAATGTATCTTTACTTCATCAATAACTACAAATAACTGGATTAATAACAAACTCTGCAGTCCGGCTCAGTTCAGACTAAATCACAACAATAGAAACATCATGAGGACTGAACGTGTCACTCTGCCACGGACTCATTTCTACCAGCACATTATGGATTCATATGATTCTAATGGTCTCATAGTGATGCAGATTTAAACTGAAGTGGTTCAGACCGATGGAAGATCTCAGAGCGACGTAGACCTGGATTATCCTGAGACCTTAAACTACATGAAGACATGAAATATTGCAGACTAAATGTTAATGTTGAGCAAAGTTAAGACAATATGAATTTCATTTACACTGAGAGGAATATGTTTCTGGAAGGAATGGACGAAGGGTTTTGATGGGTTAGGTTGTCCTCTGGGAACATCTGGGAACATCCAGCCACAGCAGCTTACCGTGTGAAAGGTGTACTGGTGGTAAACAGTTTGTCTTCAGGTGTGAACGTGTCAGGAAGTATGTTCTGGACTTATTCTACTAATACTAATACTACGACTGCCTTTATCAGAGAGTACTGAGAGGCAAAGAGAGCATGAGGAAGTGACGAGTAGATGAAATGTTGAGTACACATGAGTTAAGATTAGAGTACTTCAAATGACTTCCAAGAGCCATACCAATAATATTCAGTACTAGTTAAGTACCAATGTAGTAGGATTTAGTAGTAGTGGTTGGGTTGTAGTACTACTGCAGTTGAAGTAGGTGTAGGATTTACTAGCAGTTGAGGGGGTTTATAGGGTTTAGTAGTATTTGTAGGGTTGTAGAACCATTGTTGTAACATTCAGTGCTACTCCACTTGAACTACAGTAGGTGTATGAGTTAGAAGTAGTTAGAATATTGATACCATTAATAATAATATCATTATTCTAAAATTAAGTACTAATTTTAGGGTTTAGTAATTCTAAAGTACTACTCTTAGTAAGATTAAGTAGTAAAATTTAATATTGTAGTGCTTTTGTAGCAGGGTGTACCATTGTTGTAGCGTTAGTAGTATTTGTAGGGTGTACCACTGTTGTAGCGTTAGTAGTATTTGTAGGGTGTACCATTGTTGTAGGGTATTGTCCAAGTTGGATTACTATTATTTTAGGATTTAGTGCTGATTGGGTTTATGACGAGTTGTTAAATTGTATGGTTAAGTTTTTGTACTTTAGTACTAGCTGTACTGTTGTTCTAGGGTTCGGTACCAGTTGAAGTACTACTACAATATGGTTAAATAGTAGTTTAGAGTTAGTACTAGTTGAAGTAAAATTGTTGCAGGGGATTTAATACGTGTTGCTTAGTGTCTTCAGGGTTTAGTACTTGTTGTAGTACCTTTGTTTAGTAGGGCAGGGTTAGCAGGGTCTAATAGTATCTGTAGAGTTGTACTACCAGCAGGGTTTAGCACCAGCTAAAGTACCTTTACTGAAGAATGTAGTACTACTTGGATGGTTGTTGTAGGATTTGATAGTAAAAGTACAAAATATAGTGAGATTTAGTACTCATAAGGTTTATAACTTGTTGTTGAGTTGTAGGGTTAAGTACTAGGATTGAGTACTGTTGGTTATTGTTACCGTTTTTAAACTAATTAGTAGAAGTTGTAGTGTTTAATACTAGCTGCAGGGTTGCAGCAGGTTTTGGTATACTGTTATTGGTTGTGGCACTAGTTTGCTAGGATTTCATACGAGTTAGTTGTAGAGTTTAGTACTAGTTACAGTACTACTGTTATATAATTTGTAGTGTTGTAGTAGGCTTTAATGTTAGCTTTGTTGTTTAGGTAGGGTTTAGTACTACTTGAAGTACTTCAGTTAAGTACTAGGTACAGTATTATCATTGTAAGATGTGTAAGTTTGTACTGGGGTTCAGCTGGAGATGAAGTACTATTGTTATAGGGTGTAGTACTAGTTGTAAGGTTGTAGTAGGGTTTGTATCTTGTAGTATATGTGACACTTGAGTTTTCTGTTGGACAAACTCAAAGTGACCGTTTGATTCTTCTTCTTTAAGATAAGGATGTAATGTTGGATCGTCCACCAGGTGGAGCCACAATCCTCTGAGTCGAGCGGCGAGGTATGTGGTCATCAACCTGAGCTCCTGTGAAGAAGAAGAAGAAGAAGATGATGATCTGGATCAGTGTATCTTCTTCATGTTCTTCTTCATGTGTAACTGCAGTACTTAGCTATTGTATGTATAAACTGTGTGTTATCTAAAGTACAGGATTTACCCAGAATGCCACTCTGAGCCAATCAGCTGTAGTGATCACTTTATTGATAAGAATTCTCCAGAGACGTGTGTTTGTTTGTGTCCTGCATGTATGAACACTACCTGCCAGTGTGAATCCTGATTGGTGGAGGTTTCGGGGGGCGATCTGGGATTTTGGACAGGGGGGCCCCCTGGTGGTTGGAGTGGGTGGGACCGATTTAGTCATACTGATGACATCATGGACGGGACCATCGTAGTTTCCACGGGGGACGCCGCGAGCCTCAGCCATCTGAGATGAGGAGAGAAACGTTTGATCAGTCATTTTTCTGATTAACTAGTTCATCAACCAGACAGAGACGAACCCCGTCAGAGTTCAGGTAGTTCTCTGGTTAACAGGTACGTTACCTTGCTGTGGCTCTGATCCAATCAGAGTTCAGGTAGTTATCTGGTTAACAGGTACGTTACCTTGCTGTGGCTCTGATCCAATCAGAGTTCAGGTAGTTATCTGGTTAACAGGTACGTTACCTTGCTGTGGCTCTGATCCAATCAGAGTTCAGGTAGTTATCTGGTTAACAGGTACGTTACCTTGCGGCTCTGATCCTCTGTCAGAGTTCAGGTAGTTCTCTGGTTAACAGGTACGTTACCTTGCTGCGGCTCTGATCCTCTGTCAGAGTTCAGGTAGTTATCTGGTTAACAGGTACGTTACCTTGCTGCGGGCTCTGATCCTCTTGTAGACGGCGTCGGGGAAAGCCTTCCGGGGGACGAAGCGTCCTGAACCTTCAGTCACGCTGAGTTTTCCATCCTCCAGAATGACTCGACCGCCGCTGATCACCACCGACGCCACACCTCGAAACTCTAAACCCTCCAGTATGTTGACCTCCACCGTCTGCACACAGGCATGCAGCATGGTGAGGAAGATGATGATCAATGATGAATTTTAATTATGGATGATGAAGACTGATGTGTTGTTACCAGGTTGTGAGTCTTTGCAGAAACACTTCGGGTCTCCTTTGGATTCCAGACAACGATATCAGCATCTGAACCTACAGCGATCCGTCCTGAGCACACAGAGGACAGAAACCCACCATGTTACAGATATCTGAGTACCATTTATGGATATCTGAATATTATTGTAAACAAACAATAGGGTTAGGGTTAGGGTTAGGGTTACTCGTATGTCAGTAAATCATTTCCAGGCGATACCTTTGCGCGGGTAAATGTTGAAGAGTTTCGCAGCGTTGGTGCTCGTTACTGCAACAAACTCGTTCTCATCCATCTTCCCCGTGGACTGCAGAGACAGAATGACAAAGATCTAAATAGCCTTCACATGTGGAAACTACATACATTTACACAACAGCCTCTATCCTTAGAGAGCCTTAATCCAGAAAAAGAAAAACTCCACAAAAACTCAAACAGTTTTCTTTATGTTGCAGAAATGTGCCTGGTGTATAAATTAGACCATAACCTAGCACCACCAACCTAACCTAACCTAAACAATGTGTGTCGTTCTGCAGGGATAATGCTAAGGAGACCAGGGCATCAGTCAATTTAGGAAAACTGCTTTTGCACAGTCAGCATTTTCAATCAGAGCAGCAAATAAATGGAACCATATCAGAGACTGAACTAGCTTCAATATCTATAAACGAAAACACAGCTCAAGACAAACCAGTCATGTGACCATTAATGTAAACCTTTGATTGGAACTGACTGTTCTCTGTCATGGAGAATATTTTATTTATATTATGTATCATAGTATCTGCTGATACTGTGTACAAATGTGATACCAGAACTTTCTTTTACCCTCATTTAAAACCTGTGAACCTCTCATTTAGAGCTTATTGGCTGAGAGAGCCTACCATGACTGGCTGGCGAAAACACTGAATTTCGACAAAAAATGTGGATCATGCCACTTTATTAATCTTTCATTTGGTTTCTTGTGTCTCTGTACCTGGTTTTTAAAGTTTATTGCTGTTCTGCATCTTCTGTCTGTAGTTTATATTATTTTATTTAATCTCTTCTTAATTAACTTGCCTGTTAAAATAAAGGTATAATAAAATGTCAGACTGAGAACCAGTGGTCCAGTGGATCCCATCATTGCAGCCATTATTATTTTTAGCCTCCGACGCAGGGCGTATTGTGCATTAGTCTCTCTGCACTGAAAACACACTCATGCCTTCTGTGTTCGACAAATCAGACATATTCAAATATTCTAATGTATGCAGACGATACAGTTCTATACACACATGGGCCATCAAAAACAGCAGTGGCAACTAAACTTACAAACTCTATGGTAAAGATCAGTGAATGGCTAAATCAGTGTAGCATTCAGTTAAATTTCTCCAAGACAGTTAGTATGTTTTTTACTAAAACTACCAACTCCACAGCAAATCCGGACATTGTAATATCCGGTGAAAAACTTCAAATAGTTACAGAATTTAAGTATCTTGGTATTCTCATAGACTCCAAATTTAATTTTAATTCTCATATCACCAAAACTGTCAAGAAAGTAAAATTTAATCTAATCTAATCTAATTTTCGATTTACCAGGAACTCAATGTCCACCCGAGCAGCCAAAATGTTTATGCATTTTTTCGCATATGACTTACTGCCTCACCATCTGGTCTCAGGCCAACCACACCACTTTAAAACCAATACAGTCCCTATACAAGCAAACACTTAAAGTTTTGGATAAGAAACCACGTCATTTTCATCACTGCAATATTCTGTAAAAATATAATTTATTAAGTTGGGAAAATTTTTCAATTAAGTTCACAAATATCTGTCTAGCATATAAAATCCTTCATGGCCTGGCCCCTCCACCTCTTTGAGATTGTGAGTTTAAGGTCCATCTCCAGTCGCCTCACTCGAGGAACATCCAGAGGGGACTGTGTCATTCCATTCAGGAAAACTACGTTTAGTCAGTCCAGCCTTTTCTATTAAAGCTTCAAAAGAATGGAACAACATCCCAACGTCAATCAGAGAAATTAATAGTTATAATGTATTCCGCTCATCATTAAAACGCTGGCTCCTTAGCAGTCAAACATGCCAGCACTGAACTTCCACCGCCACTCTCTTGAGCCATCTTGCATGTTTTTTTTATTTAATTTCGATACTGCTGCATTTTAATGCTGCAGTTTATTCTGCCTCTTAAGCTTTGTATTATAACTGACTAATGTCTTTGACTGTGTTCTTAATATTGACTCTAGTTGTTTTATGAACTGCAGCTTGTACTCTTATGTTCTGTCGCCTCCAGCTGCATTTCCACTTAAGCTCTGTAGCGCATGAACTCCTTGTTGCATGTTTGTTTTGGCGTCTTATTCCTGCTACTGTAGCAAATGTAATGTTTATTGTATTTTTGCCATGTGAAAATCAATTTGTTTTACCTATTACCTATTTTCAGGGTGCCTATTGTACATCGGGCCTGGGAATACAGATGAAAAATAGCCTTTTGGCTAACTCTGGCATATTTTGAGCTGTCATGTTAATATGCACTGTCCTTGCAAATAAATAAAATTATTATTATTATTCACTCTGTGATTGGTCAGCTGTCTGAAGGTGGGAAGTAGGCGTGGCTTCTCTGTTGGCCCCCTGTTTTCATTCTACAGCTATTTCTGTCACTTTTCACGTGAACACTGAATGTCTTGTTATCCACGTTTGTAGGGTTCACAGTGTGCAGACGGCTCATCTCACCACCGCTCTGTCCCACACCACAGACATCCTCTCCTCGATGCCGTTGGTTCCCTCTGGGATCAGAGTGAAGTCGTCTTTACCGACAGCTTTCTGAGCTGTGGAGAAGCTGGCGTGAGCGCTGGACGTCACCTGGAGGTCTCCACTGGAAAAAAAGGCACAACAAGCACCTCTTAGGTTCACCTGCAACACCTGGGGCCTCATTTATAAACAGTGCGTACGTACAAAACAGGGCTGGAAACGTGCGGACGCCACTTCCCAAGCAAAGGCTGTGATCTATAAAAAACAAACGTGCGTCCTGTAAGTAAACTCTGAACCATGCGTACGCACATAAAGAGGAGAAATGACAAACAGCGACTCACATGGCAGAAGGATGAAACGCGTTGAGATGAACAGGCCTACTACTGTGTAAAATAAATCCAAATATTACCTCTGAGTATTAAAGCCTTTCTGAATAAAAACACCCCTTTGATTGACTTTCCCCGAAGTGCGCAAAAAACACACACAATTTAAGATCATTTGCAGCCACAAAAGATCCAGATTTAGGATCATAAACACAAACAGATTCTGTTTCTGCAAAAGAGCCTCAAATATTTTTTACAGTTTAATTCGGAATCATATTAATTTATACTTGCTTGCAGTGCAATTTATTCTCATAAATCAGGTGAACAGGAGGACATATTACACTGATCCCGTTTTCCCGAGAGCATAGTTTCACACTGCCTATTGTTATCATCATTATGTTCGTTGACTTTTCGAGGCTAATGCTATGCACCAGTGTGTGGATGTGATGCGCTGCTTGGCGTTACGGACAATGTAACACTATTTTATTAAAGAAATCTTTCAGTGTGTGTCACATAAAACAAGTCATTTCTTTTAACTCATCGGCAGCCTCATTAGTGAGTGGACTCTTTGTCTAGCCTAAATGGGCTAACATGGTCGACATGGCGCTCCCTCACATGCACCTCATTTTAAGTTGACTGTGATTTATAAAGGGAATTTGCTTACAGGTGTGCATACGCACAGTTTCATAAGTCTGAATATTTTTGGCGTACACCATTTTGGCTTTTGGGCGCACTTACACTTTTAGTGAGGTTTCTACGCACAGTTTTATAAATGAGACCCCTGGACTGTTGAGGTGGAAAGTGACGCTACATGTATGCTAACCATGCTAACAGAGAGGTGGGGTCATACTAACCATGCTAACAGGGAGGTGGGGTCATACTAACCATGCTAACAGAGAGGTGGGGTCATACTAACCATGCTAACAGAGAGGTGGGGTCATACTAACCATGATAACAGGGAGGTGGGGTCATACTAACCATGCTAACAGGGAGGTAGGGTCATACTAACCATGCTAACAGAGAGGTGGGGTCATACTAACCATGATAACAGGGAGGTGGGGTCATACTAACCATGCTAACAGGGAGGTGGGGTCATACTAACCATGCTAACAGGGAGGTGGGGTCATACTAACCATGCTAACAGGGAGGTAGGGTCATACTAACCATGCTAACAGGAAGGTGGGGTCATACTAACCATGCTAACAGGGAGGTAGGGTCATACTAACCATGCTAACAGGAAGGTGGGGTCATACTAACCATGCTAACAGGGAGGTAGGGTCATACTAACCATGCTAACAGAGAGGTGGGGTCATACTAACCATGCTAACAGGGAGGTAGGGTCATACTAACCATGCTAACAGGAAGGTGGGGTCATACTAACCATGCTAACAGAGAGGTGGGGTCATACTAACCATGCTAACAGGGAGGTAGGGTCATACTAACCATGCTAACAGGAAGGTGGGGTCATACTAACCATGCTAATAGGGAGGTAGGGTCATACTAACCATGCTAACAGGAAGGTGGGGTCATACTAACCATGCTAACAGAGAGGTGGGGTCATACTAACCATGCTAACAGGGAGGTAGGGTCATACTAACCATGCTAACAGGAAGGTGGGGTCATACTAACCATGCTAACAGGGAGGTAGGGTCATACTAACCATGCTAACAGAGAGGTGGGGTCATACTAACCATGCTAACAGGGAGGTGGGGTCATACTAACCATGCTAACAGGAAGGTGGGGTCATACTAACCATGCTAATAGGGAGGTAGGGTCATACTAACCATGCTAACAGGAAGGTGGGGTCATACTAACCATGCTAACAGGGAGGTAGGGTCATACTAACCATGCTAACAGGGAGGTGGGGTCATACTAACCATGCTAACAGAGAGGTGGGGTCATACTAACCATGCTAACAGGGAGGTCAGGTACTGTGGAGTTGAAGGGTCAGGGTTAAGAGGAGGGCTCATGACCAAGGCAGCAGCTGTGGCCCAGTCTTTGGACCAATAGTGAGATCCATCAGTGGCCAGGCTGGCTGTGATTGGCTCTCCATACACCACCATACCTGAGGACAGAAACAGCAGGATGTTTAACCTTCAGCTCAGCACCTCTCCAAGAACCCCCACCTTACTGTGGTGGATCCCTGTGAGTTGTTGGTGGCAGTGTTCCCGGACAGGGTCTCCCAAGGCCAAGAGTCCCAGATAATAGAGGGGACGTTCTTGGCCAGTTTCTGGGGACTCCAGATTAAAAGTGTAGTCCACTCTGAATTTAATCTGAATTAAAGGGTGTGATGAAAAACAGATGAGAATGACGATGTCACCTTTCTTCCTGGCTTTGGCGATGACATCAGCAGCAGATTTGCTCATCACCTTGGTAACGTACAGCGGACAGTTGGCCTGTTTGGCGATTGTGATGGCCCGATACACCGCCTCTGTCTCCACCTGGAACACAACGCGACAACACGCCCACACCATCAGCAACACACGACGTGACAACACAGGTGTGCTACAGGTGTGTCTCAGGTGTGTCTCAGGTGTGCTACAGGTGTGTCTCAGGTGTGCTACAGGTGTGCTACAGGGTGTGCTACAGGTGTGCTACAGGTGTGTCTCAGGTGTGTCTCAGGTGTGCTACAGGTGTGTCTCAGGTGTGCTACAGGGTGTGCTACAGGTGTGCTACAGGTGTGCTACAGGTGTGTCTCAGGTGTGTTACAGGTGTGTGTACCTCCTCAGGGTGAGCTAAAACGTGTCCTTCAGGTCCAGTGATGCCAAGACAGAGAAGCTTCTTCTCTTCCTGAAACACAAACAAATTTGGATTCACTGTGTTGGTGTGATCGTGCTGATAAAAACGAGAGCTACTGTCTCATTGGTCAGGATGTAGTACCTCATCAATGATGTCACCATTCTCAGCATGGACCTGTGCGATGGCTCCAAGATCCCGGAGGACCCCGAATGCCTCGTAGAGCTGAAACCACAAAAACAGTAAGCAGATTGAGAGAAACCTGAAACCTCAGCAACAACAACAACGAACAACAAACAAACAAACAATAACAATAGTGACCGTAGTTCACCTGAGAGTCGGAGCTCTGGTATTTGTCTTTGTAGGCCATGAAGAGCAGGAAGGAGTTCACACCTGTAACACAAAGTTCAGGAGCCCTGATTTAGCTTTGAAACGCCCCTGAACAACTACAAAACACACGTTGTTTCCACCAACTTGCAGAGACGTTAGTGCTCAACAGGAAGAGAGGTGCAAAAACCTGATGACAACACTCTGAACCACTGGAGCTCAACTGTTGCGTTTTCTTGTACCAAAACAAACATGGACGCCAACCAGCAGCAACTTGGTTTCGCGCTTTATTTTGGAGGCACAATCACATAAGAGGAAGTGATTATGTGAGTAACTGTTGCTGTCATGACTGAGATCTCAGAATCAGCCGCTATCAATTTATAAAAATTTTATTTTTCTGCTATCAAAGCAAACTGGCCACGTGGGCCGCCTAGTGCCGACCACTGCCCTACGCTGTAGCCTCGTACCCTACAGCGTAGCCTCGTCCCCTATGCTGTAGCGTCGTAGCCTATTCAGTAGCCTCATGCCCTATGCTGTTGCCTCTCTGCTGCCTCGTACCCTATGCTGTAGCCTTGCTCCCTATGCTGTAGCCTTGTTCCCTATGCTGTAGCCTTGTTCCCTATGCTGTAGCCTTTTTCCCTATGCTGTAGCTTCATACCTTATGGCGTAGCCTCTTACCCTATGCTGTAGCCTTGTACCCTATGCTGCCTCGTACCCTATGCCATAGCCTTGTTCCCTATGCTATAGCCTCGTGCCCTATGCTGTAGCCTTTTCCCTATGCTATAGCCTCGTGCCCTATGCCATAGCCTTGTTCCCTATGCTATAGCCTCGTGCCCTATGCTGTAGCCTTTTTCCCTATGCTGTAGCCTTGTTCCCTATGCTGTAGCCTTTTTCCCTATGCTGTAGCTTCATACCTTATGGCGTAGCCTCGTACCCTATGCTGTAGCCTTGTTCCCTATGCTGTAGCCTCGTGCCCTATGCTGCCTCGTACCCTATGCTGTAGCCTTGTTCCCTATGCTGTAGCCTTGTTCCCTATGCTGTAGCCTTTTCCCCTATGCTGTAGCTTCATACCTTATGGCGTAGCCTCGTACCCTATGCTGTAGCCTTGTTCCCTATGCTGTAGCCTTGTGCCCTATGCTGCCTTGTACCCTATGCTGTAGCCTTGTTCCCTATGCTGTATCCTTGTGCCCTATGCTGCCTTGTACCCTATGCTGTAGCCTTGTTCCCTATGCTGTAGCCTTGTTCCCTATGCTGTAGCCTTTTTCCCTATGCTGTAGCTTCATACCTTATGGCGTAGCCTCGTACCCTATGCCATAGCCTTGTGCCCTATGCTGCCTTGTACCCTATGCTGTAGCCTTGTTCCCTATGCTGTATCCTTGTGCCCTATGCTGCCTTGTACCCTATGCTGTAGCGTTGTTCCCTATGCTGTAGCCTTTTTCCCTATGCTGTAGCTTCATACCTTATGGCGTAACCTCTTACCCTATGCTGTAGCCTTGTGCCCTATGCTGCCTCGTACCCTATGCCATAGCCTTGTTCCCTATGCTGTAGCCTTGTTCCCTATGCTGCCTCGTACCCTATGCCATAGCCTTGTTCCCTATGCTGTAGCCTTTTCCCCTATGCTGTAGCTTCATACCTTATGGCGTAGCCTCGTACCCTATGCCATAGCCTTGTTCCCTATGCTGTAGCCTCGTGCCCTATGCTGCCTCGTACCCTATGCTGTAGCCTTGTTCCCTATGCTGTAGCCTTTTCCCCTATGCTGTAGCTTCATACCTTATGGCGTAGCCTCGTACCATATGCTGTAGCCTTGTTCCCTATGCTGCATCCTTGTGCCCTATGCTGCCTTGTACCCTATGCTGTAGCCTTGTTCCCTATGCTGTATCCTTGTGCCCTATGCTGCCTTGTACCCTATGCTGTAGCCTTGTGCCCTATGCTGCCTCGTACCCTATGCCATAGCCTTGTTCCCTATGCTGTAGCCTTGTGCCCTATGCTGTAGCCTTGTTCCCTATGCTGTAGCCTTGTTCCCTATGCTGTAGCCTTTTTCCCTATGCTGTAGCTTCATACCTTATGGCGTAGCCTCGTACCCTATGCCATAGCCTTGTTCCCTATGCTGTAGCCTCGTGCCCTATGCTGCCTCGTACCCTATGCCATAGCCTTGTTCCCTATGCTGTAGCCTCGTGCCCTATGCTGCCTCGTACCCTATGCTGTAGCCTTGTTCCCTATGCTGTAGCCTTGTTCCCTATGCTGTAGCCTTTTCCCCTATGCTGTAGCTTCATACCTTATGGCGTAGCCTCGTACCCTATGCTGTAGCCTTGTTCCCTATGCTGTATCCTTGTGCCCTATGCTGCCTTGTATCCTATGCAGTAGCCTCATACCCTATTCATACTCTGTCTTTTTGTGTGTCCAGTGATGCTCAGTGAAGCATCCTGACCTTTGTCTTTGATAAGGGTCTCCAGCTCCTCGTACAGTCCTTCGTGCCAGCGAGTGATGTCCAGGTGCAGAGAGAAGTCGCAGCACGCCCTCTGCTCCGCCGTCTCCCTCCACTGCTCAAACGCTGACAGTAAACTAGTCCCGGGCTCCACCAGCACGTGGTCCACTGTGAACACAACCACCAGCATTATTACTGCTGTGCTCTGACTGAAGCAGTATTGACAAGTATTGGTAGGCTATTGGTAATAATCTGACTGATTGTGGTGGTTCCTCCCGACACGGCGGCTCTGGTTCCGTGGTAGAAGTCGTCGGCCGGGTTCAGGCCTTTCTGCGCAGCCTGCAGGTTGGTGTTGGCGTCGACTCCTCCGGGGATCACCAGCTGCCCGTAAGCGTCCACTGTCTTCACGCTGGACGGGACGATCAGGTTCTCACCGATCTGTCTGATCAGGACACACGACAGGAAGTCTAATGATGATCAGGACACACAACAGGAAGTCTGATGATGTCAGAAAACCACTATCAAACCATAGATATATACACGTGGAAATGGCATTGAATGTTGCTGTTCATTGCTGCAATGTATCAATACGGTCGCCATATTGGTTTGTGGAAGTCTCCTAATGCATGTGAGTCTATGAAGACAGGAGGTCGACCCACGATCACAGTCATCATGACTCACTGAAGCTTCTACCAATTTAAAAAATGCCAGACATGATTTTTTATTCTACACTATTAAACTGAGGGTTTTCACAACCCGTTCTCACTCCGAAGTCATCACATATGGACGCATGGTGAAGACCTGTTTGAGTCAGTTTGTAACGCACTGAGGGAAACCCTGTAGGGTAATTTTTTAATGCTGAAGGTAGGTGTAGGTGATGTTTAATGGGGTCGGCGAAGGGCCAGAAAACGGCCTTTCAACCAGGAGACTGGTGTTCATTTCCTGTGAAATAAAAAGTCAACACAGAATGTTTTATTTAAGTTAGGTAAGCTCAGCAAGTAACGTAAGTAAAGTAGTTATTTTAACCCAAACCACGATCTAACCTAACCAATTAGTTTTAGTGCCTAACCCTAACCAAATTACTTAATTACTTTCATGACCTTAACCAGTAGTTTTATTTTGAAAGTCTAACCAGACGCTGCATATCTATTGCTGCTAACTTGACCGTGGAGCGCTACACGTTGCAAAATGGTGCCCAGGGCGTTAAAAAGTGACGCCATGGGGTCTGACCAAATATGTGACGAGGTGGGAGAATGTTTGATCAGAACCTGCTGAAAGACACGAAGTCTGATGATATCAGAGACAGTCCAACTGGAGGTCGACCCACAGCACACCTGGAGGTCGACCCACAGCACACCTGGGGGTCGACCCACAGCACACCTGGGGGTCGACCCACAGCACACCAGGGGGTCGACCCACAGCACACCAGGGGGTCGACCCACAGCACACCTGGGGGTCGACCCACAGCACACCTGGAGGTCGACCCACAGCACACCTGGGGGTCGACCCACAGCACACCTGGTGAAAATAGGTCAGACAAGAAGAACGTGCGCTCAGCTGCTCAAAACAAACAGCCAGAGTTATTAATAATTCTGATTATTTACTTGATGGTCCCGTCCTCCACATAGATGTCGGCGTAGAACGACTGGTCATCATTGACGATCTTTCCTCCTTTGATGATCAGACGGTCGCCCTGGAAAGAGATGGACAGAGAGGATGCTGGGTAAAGTCATTGTAAACACGTGTTTCATTAAAAACAGTTAAAAGTTGTAATAGTACATAAAAACATTTACACTGACACTGACCGGCCACTTTATTAGGGACCAGTTCATTTGCTCGTTAACACAAATAGCTAATCAGCCAATCACATGGCAGCATTTAGGCATGTAGACGTGGTCAATACAACAAGAAACTGCTGATCTGCTTGGATTCTCACTCTCAGCCATCTCTAGGGTTTACAGAGAATGGTCTGAAAGAGAAAATATCCAGAGAGCTGCAGTTGTGTGGACGAAGAGGTCAGAAGAGAATGGGCCGACTGGTTCCAGGTGACAGAAAGGCAACAGTAACTCAAATAACCACTCGTTACAACCAAGGTATGCAGAACACCATCTCTGAACGTGCAACACGTGGAACCTTGAAGCAGACGGGCTCCAGCAGCAGAAGACCACACCGGGGGCCACTCCTGTCAGCTGAGAACAGGAAGCTGAGGCTACATTTCACACAGGCTCACCAACACTGGACAACAGACGAAGGAAAAACGTTTCCTGGTCTGATGAGTCTGGATTTCAGCTGCGACATTCAGATGGTCGGGTCAGACTTTGGTGTGAACAACATGAAAGCATGGATGGTGGTGTAGTGGTGTGGGGGATATTTTCTTGGCACGCTTTGGGCCCCTCAGTACCAACTGAGCCTCGTTTAAAGGTGACAGCCTACCTGAGTATTGTTGCTGACCATGTCCATCCCTTTGTGGCCACAGCGTACATCTTCTGATGGCTGCTTCCAGCAGGATAATGCACCATTTCACATTTAACGCTGATCTCTTTATGAGTTGCTCTCTGTATTTAAAGCTGTACTGACGGATGTTTTTACTGTTTCAGCAGAAACAAGCTGTGAACGCCTCATCACGGTTCACCAGCATGTGATCAAACTGTTTCTTAGTTCCTCTTTTTCAACGCCACTCTGAGACAGAGAAATCCGTTTAAAAGTTCACTTACCGGATTATAACTTGTCAATAACCTTTATATTATTTGCATCTCTTCTTTATATTTGAAGCAGCCGTTCAAATACTCAAAGTTTTCCTACAAAAAACTAAATCTGAACAATGAAATGCAGAAATATATTAATAACATAACGACTCAGGTATGAAGATTATCGTCATTATCATTGTGTGCTTTTATTCTGAAATGTGATCAGAAACGCAGTTGAAGAATTTAAAATTATTTTAAATTTGAGCTTTTGGGGTCCAGTCTGTCTCTGACTGTCAGCCACGCCCACGAGGATTTTGTGGCTTTTAGGATAAACAGTATTATTGGTTCCCTTTTATCAGAAGCTCAAATGTCCCACTTTCCCTGAACGCAGCAGTTTTTTCATCATTCATTCATCTCTCAGCATCATCTGCAGCTGCACCGAGCCGAGCCGAGCCGAGCAGGGCCGGGTCAGCAGCAGCTGCACACACCAGCAGGCCGGAACGACCCGGTCCGGCCTGGTCCGGCCTGGCCCGGTCAGGCTGGTCCCCGGCCTGCTTCGGTCTGGTTCTAACGGCGCGGTGATTGACAGGCGGAGCTGCAGCACCCTGCCTCACCGGCCCAACAGCATCCTGTTATCTCGGCCCGGCCCGGCCCGGCCCGGCTTGGACCTACCGCGGGTCTCGCGCTGCTCTTCTTGGGCTGGAACGACATCCTGATCGATCTGTGATCGGCTGATTGATCCGCTCGCTCACTCTCTGTCTGCTATTGTTGTTCCCGTCAGCTCTGACGTCACACTGCCGACAATACACGCACACAGGGCTTCCGGTGTGGAGCTTCAAAATAAAAGCCTCGGAGACGAACGTTATCTTTATTTAATGTTTGAGTCACAGGTCGGAACTTTCTCATGATGTTCTGACAAGTTTCCTGCAGAGAAGGAAATGTACACACAGAGCAATCACAGGTGGGACAAGTACTCACTGACTGAAGTAAAAGTACTACCACACTGTGAAAGTACTCTGTGTCCTCTCCTCAGATTCTTCTTCCTCCTCATTAATGTAAAGCAGGACTGCCAAACACCTCAGTTATTAATCATTCAGAGGAGAAGCAGCAGATCTTCAATCAGATGCTGTAAAGGGAAAATGACCATTCAGTTTCTGAACTGATCTCCGGTCAGCCTGAAATAGATTTACTGAAGAAGCTTTCTGTGATCGCAGCAGACTCAAAGAGACTGAAGTCTGCCAGCCGTCCTTGTCTCAAGTCATGTCTGTGGTTCCATCCAAAAGACAGGAAATAAACTTTAATCAATTTAAATAAAGTGGAGACGCTACATCAGTCATAACTGCTTTTATTATGAAAGGAGATCCCGGAAGTAGTTTATTTGCTGTATGCTGATTGGTCATCTAACTGCTGTGGAGGAGACAGTCCTGTCCCTGTTGGTCATTTGATTTGATTCTGATTCACTGATCGAATTTAAACTCCAGTAAAAGTTCAAATACAACCATGTAAAGGTACTTCAAGTAAAAGTACTGCATTCACACCCAAGATCCTTCAATGTGAAACTGTGGAGGAACCTTTGTGCTCTGGTTCCTTACGTCCTCTGCATCTCTGAAGAGAAAGTTTAAAGAAGGAGAGAGTTCAGCAGCGAAACATCTCCTGGTCTCTCCCGCAGATCCAGACCTGACCTGGATCTGACTTGGACCACATATGAAAGTGGCCGATTGGGAACAGATCCATTTGACTTGTTGTCATCAGATCTGTGCCGCATGAAAACTTAATGTTCGGCCTTCCAGTGGTGTTGAAGGGAGACCAGCAGCTGTCAGATAAAAGGTTGGACTGTAATGATGGAGCGTGAGCTTCTCTGACTGTTTAAAGAATCAGATTTCTGTTTCGTGGCTCACAGATTCAACAACACTGCGTTCAGGCGTTCATGAGCTCCATCAGCTGGAAGATCCTCTTCAGTCCAACCCAGGAATCATTCAGGGCCAGACCAAAATCTGTGGTCCTCCAGTCCATTAATCTCCAGCCAGCGTAAGACGTCCTCGACACGTCAGTCACCCTCACATCAAACAAAACCATAAAACTGCGAACAACTAAAAACAGAACAGCTTCAGTCTCCTCGACGGTCCCCTACACAGACCGGCACAGGGGATTTCTGTCCCGGAGACGGACAGGCCAGACAGGACAAAGCCATGTTTTGCAGTCTTTGGGTGCAAAGCCAAGTCTTCAAGATTCAAAACAAAACACGTCTCCATATGTAGAAGACCAGGAATTTGCATCTAAACTAAGGTCTTTATTTCACTAGCTGTCATATCGTGATTTAAAATGTGGGACCAGGTCTGTGTTCACATGAACTTACGAACGAGTTTAACATCTTCAGCTGGGCCCTCTGAGTCCACGTCTGGAGTCCTCATTATTCAGCCATCATCAGGCAGCGGAGGCGGATCCTCTCTGCAGGTCTGCAGCCGGGCCAAACGCTCCTGCTAACCGGCTGATCCTCGTGAGCCTCCGTGATGTCGTTCCGCTCATCGCTTGAATGTCTTTGAAGAAGTGGAAATGACTTGATGTGAAACATCTGCTTCCCTTTTTTTCTTTCATAGCGTTGCTTTGACCGCTCAGGTTGACCTGTGACCTGGATCTAAACTCATTAATGCGTAACAAACACAGCTCCCCCTTTAAACTACTCAGAATACTACTGACGTACAAATACCTTAAAATTTGTGATTCTTGAGATCTGGAACAAAACATGTCCACCAGATAAAACACATTTACACAATATTATTCATACATTTAACCAGAAAACTTTTTTTGGGTTTTAGCACACCCAATTATTTATTTCATGTTGTTTTATATTTTATTATTATAAATGATATAATATGTGAGCAGTGCCTGTAAAAATCCTTGTCCGTGTCATTACATTACAATAGCTTAAAAAGAATTAAAAGTAATGCAAAATGAACCATTATACAAACTTTTTGTTAGTAGTTCATTAAATATTTTCTAAGTATCAAAAGTTACAATTTAAAACTGATTTTAATGTACGTTTTAGACGATTTAACTTGTGTCCTGGGTTTTTGTCCGTCAGACTTTTTTTAAATAAAAAAAATCAGGAATAATTGAAGGCTGCTAAAACTCTGAGGAGCCCTTTATCACTTCCTTGTTCTTTCTAATGCTATGAGACCACTCCAGCTCTGGTAAGTTGTTTAGATTCTATATATTTCATACCTACTTGTTGACACCTGGCATGTCACAACCGTAGTGTGTCAACACCATAATTAATGTAATGCAAGATTTGTATCATATTCTCTGCTATAAATTCTTAATCTATGTAGATTATAGAGGTCACAAGCAACTAATGATAAACACAATGGCTCCTGTGATGAGCACACGTGTTTTGAGGGGAAATATGGTATTTTGTCAACTCCGTCAGGATTTGTGTCTGACGGTGTTGACTCTCTCTAAGATGCTGTTGACAAATGCCACTGAAGTGCATTATTCTTCATTTCAGTATATATTTACTTTAGTGAATATTTTGATATTACTGTTATTCAGATTCATGTGTTGAATTTCAAGCAATTGCCACAAAATAGCTTTATGTTTTGAATTACTAAACCGTAATCATTAAACATTGACAAATCTAACTTTTAAAAGGAGATATGATTCATTTAAAAACGTGTATACAATTAAGAGAACCAAGAAACAGCTAAGAGTAAAAATATCTATTATAAGGTCATTCAAAATCATTTTTTTGACATTTCTGTTGCTGATGGTGTTGACAAAAATCTCCTCGTCCTTTAAATTAAATCCTTTAAAATAATTGAATATTAATGTTAAATATCAATATGAATAATTTATATTATAATTTTTGGGATATTTTCCCAGTAATGAAATCATTAAATATTAATATAAATAATACAATAATAAATGGGTTATGCAGTTTTGTTCTGCACATGCTCAGAACTCGCCCTTTCCCTGAACTCCATGGTTTCTGATCAGCTGTTTCATGTTTCTAGGCTTTTATCATCCACGCCGGCTCCTCCCTCAGCCAGTCAGCAGACAGAATCCCTCCTCACCTGAACTGGTTCCTGGTTTTACCCCAAACCCTGACATGTCACGAGTTGTTCTGTTTTACTGAATGAGGACTGTGAATGCAGGACTTTAACTTGTAAAGGAGGATTTTTACCGTGTAGTATTGGTACCTTTGCTGAAGTACAGGATATATAACTGGGTAGTCTGAGTACTTCTTCCAGCACAGGTGGGTTTCTTTGTTTCTTTGCATCGTCCTGTAATCTGATCTCAGAACTGTGTTTAAATGCAGTTATACATTAAATTCATCAGTCAGTTCTTGTTTTCAGTGACTGAAACATTAAGAAATCATAATAATAAAGAACATTAAAGTCATTTTAACCTCTCTCTTGCCGTAGTTTTCCCGGGCGTGTCCGGAGGGAAACACCACCGTCTGTCCTCCTCCTCTCTCTGCGTCTCCGCCAGCAAGGCTGCGAGTGGCCCGGCGACGCTGCGTCTGCGGACTGAACGACTCGAAGTTCAGGGTTTTGTTCTCGAAAGCTCCTTCGACGCTGCAGAACATCCCTCCATACTTCATCCGAGGACGAGGAGAGTCCGAACCCAGCCGGGAGAGGAGAGAGGAGCAGTCGTCCTCCTGAGAACACCTCCTCTCAGACATCATGGAGAGATCTGATCCGAGACCAGACAAGGAGAGGAGGTGGAGGAGGAAGGGAGGAGGAGTAGGGTTGGCTGAAGACCTCAGGCGATAAATGAGGAGACCAGAGGGAGGAGGAGAGTAAAAGGAGGTCATGGAGGAACTGTGACCTCAAAATGAGACTGAGAGGAGAAACGAGCAGGAGGAGGAGGAGGATCAACCAATCAGATCGTCATGAGCGGCTGTCAGTTTGAATCCTTTTGAACAAACTCTGAAGGTTTTCCTCACATCTGAAGAACCCACGAGTCGGAAACATCATTTAGGGGCACAAGGAAAAGTTCAAACCTGGAAGAGAAACTCCACCCCTGTGTGTGTCTCCAGGTGTCTCCAGGTCAGCGGCATGGGAAAAGCCCTCGGGCCTCAAAGAGATTTCTTTTAAAAAGCATTATAAAAAACGTTCCTGCTGAGCTGCTCCATTGATTTCTCATTAGCTGCTGTTGGTTTCTTATCGGCTGAAGAACGTCTTGGTGTTAGGAGGGAAGTCTGACATCACGTGACATCACAGCGGGCGCTCCGAATGTTTCACGTCCAGTGAACACAAAGAGACTCACAACCCTGTTCGCTTGACACAGCCTCGTGGTACTGTCTTTCTGGGGACCCGCCGTTGACATAATGGAGCCCTAAACCCAGTCTCAACCCTTTAACAGAGCTTTAAACTGGAGGGGTCCAGCATTTTGGTCCCCATAAAGCTAGTTGGACCCCACAAGTATAGCGGAATCCCAGTTTTTAGACCCCATGAATATAGCAAAACAAACACACACACACACTCAGGTCAGTGCTCATTACTGCAGCTCTTCAGACGCTGCAGAGTGAACTGAATATCTTTGCCTGTCACATTCACTTTATCTACACTGTCACACACACACACACACACACACACACACACACTAACACGCACTCAGTGGACCATAACAAAGTGTCCTGTCTGACAGAATCTGGTATACTCGATGTGTGTATCTGACAGTATCACACAGTGCAGTACACATACAGTGCAGTACACACAGTACTATGCATACACAGTACTTACATGATCCGCTGTATGTATGCAACATTATCTCAACGGTTAAACAGCAAAACACAAACAAAGTTTTGTCTCCGCCACTGTTTAATCTGTGATCTCATCAGACGGCCGACTCTTCAGGTGTTCACTGACTCACAGCAGAGATAGAAAAATATCATCTGGAATAATAAAAGTACAGCAGCAGGGTCTGGTTTCTTAAACGCTGTGTTGGTTCAGTTTAGCTTTGTGGACGCTGCAGGACAACAGAAGATAATTCACACAGAGGAAACATTTCACACGGTGAATAAATCAGGTTCCGTCATCACCTCAGAGTGAAGAGTGGAAAGAAAAACAAAGGAATTTGATATTGAAATGACAAATCGCTCCCAAAATGAACAACCCCTTCTCTTCCCAACTCCTCACATACGGACGCTTGGTCAGACCCCGTGGCATCACTCTTTAACGCCTTGGGAACCCTTTAGCATTATTTTTGTGCGTGTCAGGTTAGCAAGAATAAATATGTCTGGTTAGACTTTCAAAATAAAGTAAGCTGTAAATGTTGTTAAAATAACTATGTTACTTACATAACTTATGTCAGTTACGCATCACTAAAAACAATCAATGTTGACTTTTTGTTTTACACAGAAAACAAACACCGGTCTCCTGGTTAAAGTCTTTGTCCCACCATCCAACCTCTTTACTCTGACTGCTCTTTTAGTCGTAGCACTTTCAGCGTTGAACTATGGCGCTAAAGGGCGCCATGTGCGTTGGTACCAGACGCTGAAACGTGACCTGGGAATGAGAGTGGCTTGAAATTAATTTGAAACTTCTGACATGCAGAAAACGAACCAAACTACGAATCTTAAGGCATTGTTTACTTTTTATTTCTGTTCTTTACTTTAACTCACTTCCTGTTGTCAGATTTCATTTGATCAGATCATCATTTCAATATCAAATGTCCTGATTATCTCTAGTAGCAGAGTAAAATGAAGAATTCATATAATAATATTGATAATCTTTGTATTATTATATCATTTCTATGTAAGATATTTTTTTTGTGAAATTATTCTGTGAAGAACTGACGTTGTACTTTACTGTGAAATCTCCCCACACTATGATCTGGTTCAGAGACCGGCTCCCATGTAAACCCTGTAGCAGGTTCCTTCCTGAACCTGACGTGTCTTCATGCTTCTTCAGATGTGTTCTCTTGAACAGTTCAGCAGCTCTGAGCTCCATCAGACCTCCTGACGTCATGAAGACGCGTATCCTTCATCAGGTTTTGGTCCCGTGGTGATTCTAGCGGGCTGAAACTAAATGAAGGTTACACACTGTAACCTCAGATCCACAGATCCAGAGTGCAGCTGAGAGGCTGGACAGTGTTAACCCCTCTCCAGCCAATCAGAACAAAGTTAAATTCAACTGAACTTCTATCAGGACAGACAAGAAGGCTCCAACAGTTTCTATTGGTTTCTACTGTGATTCAACTCATCAAGGTAACTTAGTAACCACTTTCCTGAACTAGTTCCCCCACCTGTCTGTCTCTGCAGCTTCGTTAACCTGATGACCATCAGCCCCCTGAACACTGACGTCAGCTAGCTGCGTTAGCTGGATGAATTCAGCTAACTTTGCCAGATATATTTAAAATCAGCCAGCTGAGCTAAAACTGTATGAGGTCAGCACCACGTCAGTCCGGCGGGCCTTCTGAGGCCACGTTGGTCCAGATGGCCCCTGAGGCCAGAATGTGTGTTTGTAAGCTGCATATCAGGTGTAGCTAACAGTAGCTAACAGGAAGCTAGTTAGGACGTTGCCGGTTGCTGGTCACTTGTCAGAAACACAGCGTTCATCTGTTGCCGTCCTTGAGGTGTGACGGTGTAGTTCCAGAGTCAGCTGACAGCTGGGCTCTGCTCTGATTGGCTGACAACAGCCAGAGGCAGGTCAGTGGGGCAGTGAAGCCAACGTGCCTCAGTCAGTACGCTGCTGGTCCCAAACTCTGAATCCTCTGAGTCCTCCTGTCGTTTGGTCTGATCCTGCTGAGTGTTCAGCTGCTGTACTCTGGGGCCTAGACACTAAAACACAGACACCATCTGAAGATATCAATTATTTATATTGAAATAATTATATAATAAAAGTTATTTATATTGTAGAATGTATATTGATTAATAATAACATTTACAGCTGTAAAACTAAAACACAGTAACGTACAGAAACTCTGCTAAACCCTGCATACCTGGGGGACAACCTGTACACCCGAGAGATACCCTGCATACCTGAAGTACACCCTGTATACCCGGGGGATACCCTGCATACCTGAAGTACACCCTGTATACCTGAAGTACACCCTGTATACCTGGGGGACAACCTGTACACCCGAGGGATACCCTGCATACCTGAAGTACACCCTGTATACCTGAAGTACACCCTGTATACCTGGGGGACAACCTGTACACCTGGGGGATACCCTGCATACCTGAAGTACACCCTGTATATCTGGGGGATACCCTGCATACCTGAAGTACACCCTGTATACCTGAAGTACACCCTGTACACCCGGGGGATACCCTGCATACCTGAAGTACACCCTGTATACCTGAAGTACACCCTGTTCACCCGGGGGATACCCTGCATACCTGAAGTACACCCTGTACACCCGGGGGATACCCTGCATACCTGAAGTACACCCTGCATACCTGGGGGATACCCTGCATACCTGAAGTACACCCTGTACACCCGGGGGATACCCTGTATACCTGGGGGACACCCTGCATACCTGAAGTAAACCCTGCTTACCTGAAGTACACCCTGCATACCTGGGGGACACCCTACATACCTGAAGTACGCCCTGCATACATGGGGGACACCCTGCATACCTGAAGTAAACCCTGCATACCTGAAGTACACCATGCATACCTGAAGTAAACCCTGCATACCTGAAGTACACCCTGCATACCTAGGGGGCACCCTGCATACCTGGGGGACACCCTGCATACCTGAAGTACACCCTGTATACCTGAAGTGCACCTTGCATCCCTGAAGTAAACCCTGTATACCTGAAGTACACCTTGCATACCTGAAGTAAACCCTGTATACCTGAAGTAAACCCTGTATACCTGAAGTACACCCTGCTTACCTGAAGTACACCCTGCATATCTGAATTACACCCTGTATACCTGAAGTAAACCCTGTATACCTGAAGTACACCATGCATACCTGAAGTACACCCTGCATACCTGAAGTAAACCCTGTATGCCTGAAGTACACCCTGAATACCTGAAGTAAACCCTGTATACCTGAAGTACACCTTGCATACCTGAAGTAAACCCTGTATACCTGAAGTACACCCTGCATACCTGAAGTACACTCTGTTTACCTGCAGGAATCACCTTTGGTAGACGTGTTTATCCATGCTGCTACTCCTGTTGCCCCACCCAAACAACCCTTTTTGCCCTGCAGTAAACCATGTTGCTGTGGGACTCACCGGCTGCTGTTACGACCAGAGGATAAAGGCCAAAGAGAAGAAAAGAAACAGAAATAGAAACTAAAAGAAAAAGAAGAAAACAGAGGAGAGTCAGTTGAAAGTCACAGAGAGCAATTACTGCTGGCTTCCATTGGTGATTATCAGCTGTCGACTGATTGAACATTAATGTCCATCCAAAACCAGACTAGACTTAGTAGTAGTAGTACTAATAGTAGTAGTGGTGGTGGTGGTAGTGGTAGTGGTAGCAGTAGTAGTAGTAGTAGCAGTAGTGGTGGTAGTAGTTTCATAGCATTACCTTCTCTTCCAACTCTTTTATTTGTCGTTTCTGTGCTTCTATAAATTCCTCCAGCTCCTTGTTTCTCTGTGAAACATACAAACATCATGTCCATTACACAAAATAAAACATACAGCACCCGCAGATAAACATTTATCTATCAGGTATGAACCTGTTGTTCTAATGTCTACCTGTTGTTCTAATGTCTACCTGTTGTTCTAAAGTTTACCTGTTATTCTAAAATTTACCTGTTGTTCTAATGTTTACCTGTTGTGTGAGTTGCAGTAGTTCCATCCTCTCTCTGAGGATCTGGGCGTCTCTCTCTCGCAGCTCGAACATCACACTCCGTTTCCATTGGTCCATTGCTCTCTTAAGCTCCTCCCTCTCTTCCTCCGTCAGTGTTTCAGACAGACGACCCTCCATCTTTAATCCCTCCATCCTGGACTCCTCCTCCTGTTGCAGAGCCTCAAACAACATGGCCTCCAGCTCCAGGATCCTCTGCATCGAGGAGAGACATTTTAAAATGAAAAAAGATTTATCTGATTGTAGCGGAGTTCTCTTCCAAACTCCTCAAAAATTGGGAAAAACACAGGCGTAGTCGAAAAACAGTGACGTGATTTTTAATAGGCCAGCCTCCAAAGTGCAAACAGTGAAACTTTTTCACAACTTACTCAATAATAAAGTTAGAAAAAGAGTTCTTCAGTAACTCAACTTCTCTCTCCCACAAAAACACAGCTCACTAGTTACCTCCTCTGTCACCAGGCCAGGACTGACTTCACAGGCCCACAGGTGCAACTTTTAAAGCCAGTAGCCCCGCCCACTGGGCTCAACAATTATTTACACAATTTACGAACTACAGAAAAGGATTTATATTTATTACACTTCAACATATTTTCAACAATAATTATATCCATCTCCACAAACATTTTCCTCCCCCTGAAACAGTTATTTGCATCACAAATAATTTTTTAACCAAAAACCATAATTGTGCAGTTCATGTGATCAGGAAAGCGCGCGAGAAAATACTATTTAAAAGACGGAAATGTTACGCTCCTGTTTGCCAAACCGAACGGGAAACAACAGAGCCTTGATCGTGCTACTGAAACGGCAAAGAAAAATGCATAATAACAGGTTTTTGAAGGCTTAATGAAGCTGGAAGGGAGCGGAGAGTGTGTGTGTGTATCTGTCCCACTGATCATAAAAATTAATATAACTCTGCTGGAATATAATAAAAAATTATAAAAAATAAATTATGAAATGGTGATTGTGACGCTATTTATACCTAGGGTAAACCCTGTAAGACCGGGCCACCACAGTTTACCCTGTGAACACAGAGGGAACCCTGTGGCCTGTAGAAGGGAGTTCAACCTCCTCAGAGTTAACTCGGGGTTATCGGGCAAACTCAGGGTAACAAACTGACCTCCTACACTGCAGTTAAACTACGACGGTGGATCAGACGTTGGTTAGTTGAGTCCGTGTTAACTTAATTGGACTTGGTGCGCGTTCACATAAAAGCGACGTGTTCGGCCGTGCAGGCAGACTTTTTTCGCAACGGCGCATGCTCCGTATTTCTCCAGAGGAACGCACGTTGGTAGTGTCAGGAAATGATGAATGTAAAGACAACGGCTAAATCTAATATCGTGGCGGCCGACAAAGCCAGGGAGGCTTGTTGGCATCGCATGGAGTGAATTTGTAGCCTAATTATCTTCACAGTGTTCTTATTGTAGTTCAAATCTCTGTGATGAATTTTTTGGGCTCTTCTTTTATGTGTAATATGATTAAGATGTAAAGGTCCAGCTGCACATAAGGTCCACTGTAAAAAGGAGGTTAATTTCCAAGATTAATGTACAAGTAAAAAACTTGAATATCACACATTTATGAGAGAACCTTCACTTTGCAAGGCTGCAACATCACACACGCGTCTGCCGTGTAATATGCACACACTGGAAAGTTATATTAGACTTTGCAATCAGATTTAGCAGTGAGCTCAACCCACAGTCACCATGATGCACCTCAGAGACTTTGTCGTGGATTGGAGCGATTTCTGATTTTTTTGTGACTTTAATTTCAGGGAATTTCCGAGTTTTGTTCTTGTAAATTTGACACTTTCATCTAGGATTTTTTTCTCGGTTATTAACCCCGACCCTGGCTCTGTATTTTTTGGACACGTAACTTCGTCAATCTAAATATGTGACAACACTCGGGAGAATTCAGTTATAGCCGACAGATGGGCTCCATCTCAGAAACGGTCCCGTTAATTAATTAAAATCTCTCTCTGAAATCCCAGTTCGGCTGCAGGGCTCGCTGTCTGAACGGAAATAACTTCATTTCAGCTGCAGCTCAGAGGAACAAGTCAGTATGAAATCTAAACATATTTGATCAAGTGGTGTAGATTAAGATCCTGCTTCTCATCAGTAACACTGAGTACAGATGTGGTGTGTAGTCCACGTGCAGGGTAACCTCGAGATAACCACCAACAAAACCTGCTGGGAGCACTTTAGAGATGCAGCGTCAATTGCCATGGCAACAGACCTCGGTTTACACGTGTCCACCTTTCGTAGTGAGGGTTTATCAGGACGTTACACCTGACGTGATGATGTTACTCCTGAAGTTACCTGGATAAGCCAGGTACCCCGCTTCGTGGTACAGGCCTCTGGGCCACCACAGTTTGCCAGCTCACACAGCCCCACTTGCTCTCTAATATTCATGCTACTCTGTGTTTATTAAATAAACCACTTCATCTTCGTCTCCAGTCTGCTTTTGAGTTCAAGCCAGATTCCTGAGCAGCGCTGCTCACCATCAAATTCCCCAAGAAGTCCCAGATTACATCAAATAGCATTAAAGCAGTCTAGAACAGAGCTTCAGTAGGTTTAATATCGAACACTGTGCATACATCACCCAGTACGATTTTAGTTTTTATCAGTGTTTGAAAAAAAGAATAGGTGCTGTGTGCCAGGCTGTCATTGGTGTAACCGCTGTAAACATAAATACTGCCTGACACTCCGTGTTGCTGTGTGACGGCTGCTCCTGCACTGCAGAGGAGAAGGATGAGGAGGGAATGAGAGTTCAGGGACCACGAAGATTTCCTGGCCTGTAATGATGACTTGCTATTATGCCGATCTAGACTTCCTAAAGCCGGTCATCCCGGGATCAGGATATCTGTTGTTGGGCTGTGCAGCCTTAGCAACACAGGAAGAGTTGTTTTCGACATGACGCCATTCGCCTCTAGAGCTCATTACCTCTTGCTTATTGTGTCACACTGACCTTATGAGCCTGATCCATTGACTGCTTCCTGTAGTCCAGCTCTTCATCCAGGTAACCTTTCTGTTTACTGAACAGATCCTAGAAAACAACACAGAGGTCAGAGGTCACTTACTGGGAATCAGTGCGGTAATGAGTGTGCTGGCAGCATCCCAACTAGTTTTCAGACTGCTGGGGTTAAACCTCTACACTTTGATCCAGGACCTGTCAGTAACTGAAGACCAGCCTCTAACCTTCAGGTCTTTAAAGAAGAATTAGTAAGAGTTGTGTCTTAGCATCTCTCCGCCCACATCAGTAACAGCAGTCTGTGTGAACTTTCTCACTCACTCCACTGAAACTGCGCTGCCTGAAGTGGGAACAGATCTTCTGCTTAACATGGATTCAGATTCTGGACCTCAGTGCGGTTTTGATACCACTGATCACAGCATACTCATACTGATCGTCTTGAAAACTGCTCTGGTGTCTCTGGCCTGGTTCTCACATTGTTAAAATCTTTCAGAAGGAAGTTTCTTGAATTATGCTTCATCAAAATGTTCTAATGTGAAATATAATTCATTTCCACTGTTACGCTGATGATACCTTTCTGTTGGTTCAATGTAAAAGTGGAACTTGTTCAACATTGTTTTTCTGTTTTCTGTGTGACTTGTTGAACAAGAAAAGACTTGATGAGAAATCCTCATCGAGCTCAGACATTTTTTAAAGTTCACAAAGTTTCCACATGTGAAGAACGAAAACACAGCGGAAACATCTTCCCATCTCTGCCTGACATTAATGTGTAATCTGTATATGATATCCCGAGACTGTCCTCGCCAAAAAGACGACAATAGAAGTTGGTTGTGCAGCATGTTATTGTCACGACGAGTGTATCCATTCCTGTTTTTCATTGCCTCTGTGTTCTTGCTTAGGTTTTGTTAATTGATCATTGCTTCCTTGTTCTCTGTTGTATTTAGTTACTTATATCCTTCTATATATTTGGTAGCTTTACTTCCTATTTTATTTTGTAATCACTGGTGTGGGTGTTTTTGTCCAGCTTTGGACAGCTAGCTTTCCTGTTTGCCGTGATTGCTTATGTGTATCACCTGTGACTGATTACTCTGCCTGCTTGTGTGCGTGATGTGTCCCAAATGTTGAGTGTTCTGCCTAGTGGTCTGTTTTCTCTGGATTCCCTTGTGTTGGCTTGCCCTGCCTTTGTTGGATTTACCCCTGTGTTTGGTCTACCTTGCCTTTTATTTGGACTGTTATCATAAATCATCAAATCGTAAATCATAAACAAAGGGTAAATAAACCTGTAAACTGAAAATAGTAAGAAAGTCCACATAAGGAGGCAGGATGGGGTGGTCGGATGGGTCAAACCCTGAACAGGAGAGCAGCGTCTGAGTCCCGTGTGAAGTAAATGTTGACTTATTATGAGTTTTAACTTAAATAGCGTGACTGACTTCCGTCACATGACTTCTGTAATTTACTTACTTTGACCCAAACCATGTTTTTCCTAAACCCAACCAAGTAGTTTTTGTTGTCTAAACCTAACCGATCTGTGACCATTTCACAACATTAACCTCATATTTACTGTCATGTGACATAACATAGTTGATGCACACGTGTCTTTTTGGGAGGCATGGATAAACAACCTATGTTGCTGTTTAGGTTGGAGGACTTGTTGGATATCCTACCTGGTTCAATACAAACTGGTGTTAATGAAGGTGTAGCAGAACATCGGTGGTTCACACCTGGAGGTGACCTGACCAATCAAAGGTGTTAGCAGGTGTATAACATCTATACAGTGTGACCACATTCTTCAGAAAATCATCCACCAGTTGAAAAGTCACCTGACTCTGCCACTTCCTGTTAGCTTATGCTGCTAACCTAAAGTGAATGGCAAGTCTTTCCTCTCAAAAAGTGATCTACAGGTGAATGATGCCTGTCCATGGCGTTGGTTTCCACACCTAGTGTGTGCCTTGGTCTCCATCTGACGGGAATACTTATTAAAGGTAAAATGACAAGGCATAAATGTCACAGAAGCCATCAGGCGGCAGCGTCTGGTGCAGATACAGTTCGTTTTTTACCTTCTCACTCTCAATGTCCAACATCTTCTGCTGCAGAGCCGACTTCGTCACCTCGATGGACTCCAACCACTGACAAGACAGACAGGTAGAGACAGACAGGATGAGACAGACAACAGTGTTAGAAAGTGTGGCAGGAAGTGACATCACTCATGTTCCATCCTCAACCGACAGCAACAGTGTTTTTCCACCTGTGGGCCAGACGCAGAACCAGAACCCTTCGTGGACCCCCATGCACAGGTGTTTAATGAGCCTTGCTTAGAGTGAAATGAGACTTATTGAAGTAAAAAGGCAGCTTCTAGACGTTCAGACGTTACCCAATCAGCAGTGACGCGCTCTTACGGCGTGTTTTAGCCTGATTCTTTCAGCTGCAGCGGCGGTGTGAATAAAACACTGTAGAAAAACCGGACTCAAAGCCGTGAGCAGGCTGACTGTCACATCTTAAAGTACCAGGCTTCAGATCTTCAGTCTCTGGAGGATGACATCAGTCTACAAAAGCACAGCGAAATAGCTTCGACATTTCTTGCAGCCAACAGGATAGGGGGGCCCGCCCTCCTGCGATCTCCCCCCAGTATGAAGTGAACTACCGTCGTGGTCCTGAAAACCTGGAGTTACCTGCTGACCTCACTTCCTGCTTCACAGTACAGACCACAGGTGGGTTTGTTACCTTCTCTGCCAGAGTGAGCACCGTCCTGGCATGGATCACCACCACCTGCTCCTCATTGGACAGATTCTGCAGGAAAAGAGGCAAACAATAACACGTCAACAACATATCAACTAAAAGACAACAAGACGTCAACACATCCACAATATGTAAATATGTCAAAAACATGTCAATAATGTATCAACTATATGACAACAACACATAAACAACACGTCGACAACACGTTAACAACATGACTACAACATATGAACTACATGACAACCGGACGTCAACATGTCAGCAATATGTAAATATGTCAGCAACATGTCAACCACATGATAACATGTCAAGAAGACGTCAACAAAATGTCAACTACTTGACCACAGGACATCAACATGTCAACAATATGTAAATATGTCAACAACATGTTAATAACATGACAACAACACATGAACTACATGACAACCAGACGTAAACACATCCACAACATGTACATGTCACCAACATGTCAAAACATTATAACATGTCAAGAAGATGTCCACATGTCAACAATATGTCAACAACATAATAACAACATGTCAACTACTTGACAACAGGACGTCAACACGTCAACAATATGTAAATATGTCAGCAACATGTCAACCACATGATAACATGTCAACAAGACGTCAACAAAATGACAAAATGTCAACTACATGACAACAAGACATCAACATGTCGGCAATATGTAAATATGTCAACAACATGTCAACTACATGACAACAGGATGTCAACAATATAAATATGCGAACAACATGTCAACTACATGACAACAAGACGTCAACATGTTAGCAATATGTAAATATGTCAGCAACATGTCAACCACATGATAACATGTCAACAAGACGACAACATGTCAACTACATGACAACAGGATGTCAACAATATGTAAATATGTCAGCAACACATAAACAACTTGTTCAGCAGTTCAACAATAACACGACAACAAGATCACAACAACTTGTGAACATGTAAATTACACATTAACTAAATCAATACTTAATACTTAAACATCATCCCAACAAGACGTCAACAACATTTCATCAACATGTAAATAACATGTTAACATGTCTCAAATACACAACAACATGATAACAACATGTAAACTACATGCCAACACGTGGAAATATCAGTTATTATTAATTCTGGCAGTTTTTCCGTCATGTTTTTAGTCACTTGTCATTAACAAGACAGTCAACATGTGACCCTGGTATTTACAGCAGCTGGAACTTCAGATTAGGTCCAAATAAACAATGACACAGAGAGATCTGCTGGTTCTGATGAAGAAGAAGAAATATAAGACACATACATGTACAAAATAAATTCAACATACACTTACGGCGTTATCTCCCAGAATATCCAGCTTCTTCATCAACTCACTGATCACAATCTCCTGAGGAACAAACAATAAACATCATCCAAGAAAACAAATGATTACTCTGGTGTGACACAGGTGTTTACAGGTGTGTTTGCAGGTGTTTACAGGTGTGTGTGCAGGTGTTTGCAGGTGTTTACAGGTGTGTGTGCAGGTGTTTGCAGGTGTTTACAGGTGTGTTTGCAGGTGTTTGCAGGTGTTTACAGGTGTGTTTGCAGGTGTTTGCAGGTGTTTACAGGTGTGTGTGCAGGTGTTTGCAGGTGTTTACAGGTGTGTTTGCAGGTGTTTGCAGGTGTTTGCAGGTGTTTGCAGGTATTTACAGGTGTGTTTGCAGGTGTTTGCAGGTGTTTACAGGTGTGTTTGCAGGTGTTTGCAGGTGTGTTTGCAGGTGTTTACAGGCGAGTTTGCAGGTGTTTACAGGTGTGTTTGCAGGTGTTTACAGGTGTTTACAGGTGTGTTTGCAGGTGTTTGCAGGTGTGTTTACAGGTGTGTTTGCAGGTGTTACTCAGGTGTGTTTGCAGGTTTGTTTACAGGTGTGTTTACAGGTGTGTGTGCAGGTGTTACTCAGGTGTGTTTGCAGGTGTTACTCAGGTGTGTTTGCAGGTGTTTACAGGCGAGTTTGCAGGTGTTTACAGGTGTTTACAGGTGTGTTTGCAGGTGTTTGCAGGTGTGTTTACAGGTGTGTTTGCAGGTGTTACTCAGGTGTGTTTGCAGGTTTGTTTACAGGTGTGTTTACAGGTGTGTGTGCAGGTGTTACTCAGGTGTGTTTGCAGGTGTTACTCAGGTGTGTGTGCAGGTGTTACTCAGGTGTGTTTGCAGGTGTTACTCAGGTGTGTTTGCAGGTTTGTTTACAGGTGTGTTTACAGGTGTGTGTGCAGGTGTTACTCAGGTGTGTTTGCAAGTGTTACTCAGGTGTGTTTGCAGGTGTTACTCAGGTGTGTTTGCAGGTGTGTTTACAGGTGTGTTTGCAGGTGTGTTTGCAGGTGTGTTTACAGGTGTGTTTACAGGTGTGTTTACAGGTGTGTTTACAGGTGTTACTCAGGTGTGTTTGCAGGTGTGTTTACAGGTGTGTGTGCAGGTGTTACTCAGGTGTGTTTGCAGGTGTGTTTACAGGTGTGTGTGCAGGTGTTACTCAGGTGTGTTTGCAGGTGTGTTTACAGGTGTGTGTGCAGGTGTTACTCAGGTGTGTTTGCAGGTGTAACTCAGGTCTGTTTGCAGGTCTGTTTGCAGGTGTGTTTACAGGTGTGTTTGCAGGTGTGTGTGCAGGTGTTACTCAGGTGTGTTTGCAGGTGTGTTTACAGGTGTGTGTGCAGGTGTTACTCAGGTGTGTTTGCAGGTGTGTTTACAGGTGTGTGTGCAGGTGTTACTCAGGTGTGTTTGCAGGTGTAACTCAGGTCTGTTTGCAGGTCTGTTTGCAGGTGTGTTTACAGGTGTGTTTGCAGGTGTGTGTGCAGGTGTTACTCAGGTGTGTTTGCAGGTGTTACTCAGGTGTGTTTGCAGGTGTGTTTACAGGTGTGTGTGCAGGTGTTACTCAGGTGTGTTTGCAGGTGTGTTTGCAGGTGTTACCCAGGTGTGTTTGCAGGTGTTACTCAGGTGTGTTTGCAGGTGTGTTTACAGGTGTGTGTGCAGGTGTGTGTGCAGGTGTTACTCAGGTGTGTTTGCAGGTGTGTTTGCAGGTGTGTTTGCAGGTGTTACTCAGGTGTGTTTGCAGGTGTGTTTACAGGTGTGTTTGCAGGTGTTACTAAGGTGTGTTTGCAGGTGTTACTAAGGTGTGTTGGGACTCACAGTGACTCCCTCTGCCTCGCAGTAGATCTGCAGAGGACTGAGTTCTTCTGGGAAGTGGAGTTGTTGGAAGTTGATGGCAGGTGAGCGTCGCTCCCTCTCCTGAACAGTAAACACGGTTTTCATACAAACGGAGAGTCAGCCTGACGGGCAGATTGTTGTTATTTGTGTTTGTTTATCTGTTTTTACCTCCAGCTCTAAGATTCGGAACTCCAGCAGCTCGTTCTGATCTTTGACGTCCTGGATGTCATTTTTCAGCCGCAGGTCTTCACCTTCCATCTGCTTTATCTACAGAATATTACAGATAGTCCCACACAAAGTCAATGCAATAATATCATACATACATTATTTAAAGAGTATTGGTGATGTCAAAAAATATATTTTGTTGACATAATATATTAATATTTCTGTTTCACCCCTGTGATTCTGCTTTGCCTTATTTCTTTTTAGGAGATGATCATGGTCTAATCCAGGCAACTCGGAAATTTATGACCTCCAACTACAAAAAGTATCGTGGAACATCACCTGAAGTCGGAGTTCCTACTTGTGAATTCGGAGAAAAAATAAAAAAATAGCACGACATCACTAGTAGCAGTTGAATATATTCACACAACAATGGCAGCTCCCGTGAAAGCACACATTGTAATGGTAAACCATAAACTAAAAGCTAACATTATATATTTGCATGTATTTAGATAAAAATAATGTAAATGCTCCGTATTGGTATAGCACCTTTCTAGTCTTTGCGACCACTCAAAGTGTTTTAACAGACATCTGCATTCACACACTGAGCCTAAGTGCTTCATTCACACGCATTCATTCACTGAACAGCCACCAGGGGCAATTCAGGGTTCGGTATTTTGAACAACAACAAGGGCGCTGCTGAGGGTGCAACTGTGTGCACCTGAGTTTGTCACGGTCAGCCAATTCCAACAGTGTGAAATGCAGCATAAGTCTTATAACTACAGCTCCCATGATGCTTTGAGGTCAGTGAGTGAATATTTTAATCTTAAGGACGCACACACCAGACTGTTCAGTCCAGACTCATGACCACACTCTGCGTTTATACTGAACGGTTTCAGAGTGGCGGTTCCGCCGACGTGAGATCTCACAGAATCTTGCGTGATCAAATGTGACTTCAGACAGAAACAAAGATGGAGGCAGACTGTCTTAGTCAGCTGGTTGACCTTGTGTGTGCTGTGTTTTGCACAGAAAAACAGAAAAAAGAGAATCAAACTGTGAACTCTGATGAGGCTGAGAAGAGGGACTCAGCAGGTTTAGACATTTTATAGCCCAGATATACGCCGGGGACGCTTCCCGCTCAGCTCGCTCTCATTGGCTGTTGTGGCTTTCTGATTGGAGGCTCCCCTAAAGCCTCATTCCCACTACGACCCCCTGACCCACTACACGATTTTCACCTCGATTCGCCGTTCGGAGACCTCGGCGACTGTCAGGCCGTGATCTGGGGTAAATCCATCCAGCCGTTATGTGTGAACTACTCAACGACGCGTCAAAATGGCTCCCCGACACATTTGTGACACATCGCCGACATCTGCCAGATATCTAGCACGCCAAATATCTGGAGGAGTAGGCCGACTGACATCCACATCCAGCCAATGAGAGCAGGCAGCTACTTCTTCTCTGCAAAACACTTTTTACTCCCCTGCAGCTCTCTGTAGCTCAGACGATCCCTGCTACCTGCGCGAGTTGATCCATCCTTTCACCCAGATTCTTTACAATAACAAACAACAGCTGTTTCTTATGTAGGCTCGCCTCATTTCCTCTTTCACATTTCACATGTTTTCATGTGACCAGCTGTCGGGTGACAGAGCCGCTGTCAGCTCAGGTAGTGTATGACCACCCGTCACCGATCAGTCACGTAATGTGAACGCCACAACGACTTCAAGACTCCCGTCACAAGACGGCGACTCGTGTAGTGTGAACAGCACGGCCACCGGCCAACGCTGAAAGTCGTGTAGTCTGCCGGAGCCTTAAGTCGGGGATCCAGTCTTCAGATTCTGTCTGTGAAGCCCTCACACTACAGGATCAATTTGGCTGATAATCTGTTCCGACCAGCCTTGGAACAGGAACGCCCTGCGATTGTCGGGAGGACAAAACAGAGCCAAAATCGTCCAACAACTGTGTTCAGACAACCATCAGGTACTGTGAGACTGAAGGACATTTAAACGTTTGTTCTGGATGGACATCAGAGACCTGGATATCCTCCGGATGTGGAAGTTATACTGAATCAATCAGCGTGTTTCATGTCTGTGAGTTCAGTGTCAAACACGCAAAACACAGAAATCAAAGTGCTTCACCTTCTCCACCAGCTCCTGGTTCCTCTGGTATAACGCCTGCTTCTCCTCCACCCACTTCACATCCTGAGAGAGAGACAGGTGGACAGACAGGCAGCTGTGTCAGCACTCTGTGTTACCCTCAGCTCAGAGCTCCAACAGACCTGCTCTACGTTCTACGTTCTACATCAAAGGTGTTCAGTCATGTTCCACAGAGAGCTACCGACTGCATGTTTCTATTTCAACAGATCACCTTTATGTCACAGATAAACCCCACCCCTCTACCAGATCAGCCACGGCTCCAGGCTATGATTGGTTCCACTCTTTATGGAACATGACTGCTTGCGCTATTTGACGTTCTACTGTTGGTTCTACCTCTGGCTCGCTCTCATTGGTTTCTGCCCCTCTGATCAGCATGAAGACACACCTCTTTTCTCCAGGAGTCTACCCTGGAACCAATCAGAACGCAGATAATATTCTCACCAGGTCTATGGACCAATCATATCGTTTGTTTACAGACTTTATCCTCCATTCAGAAAAAACTCTCCTCCTCTGTCAGCTGTTTTATTCTTTAATGTTCTGTTTCTAATCGTTTATGGAAACACTATGATCTTTATCAGAGAGTGTGTTACCAGTCCTTGTTGTTTCAGAGCCGACTCCAGATCAGCAACTCTGGTTTCATATCGACTGATTTCACTCAGCAACTGTTCTCGGGTCTGAAACACAGGGAACAGAACCATTGACCTGTTAGTGCCTCGCTTCATCACAGAGAACAGAACCCTGGTTCTATTGCTGCCTGGCTCAGATTGCTGGGTCACCTTGATCTCCTTCTCAGCGTCGTAGTGTCCTCCGCTCGTCTCCGTCAGCAGAGCGTACGCTCGCTGCAGTGCCTGATACTCCTGAGTCAGCTGACGGTAACGAAGCTCCGCCTCCTCACGCACACACACCTGAAACACACAAACCAGTCAGACCAGTAACAGAACCATTTATATTAGAAACAGAACCATTCAGACCAGGAACAGAACCATTCAGACCAGTAACAGAACCATTCATATCAGCAACAGAACCATTCATATCAGCAACAGAACCATTCAGACCAGGAACAGAACCATTTATATTAGAAACAGAACCATTCAGACCAGGAACAGAACCATTCATATCAGCAACAGAACCATTCATATCAGCAACAGAACCATTCAGACCAGGAACAGAACCATTCATATCAGCAACAGAACCATTCAGACCAGGAACAGAACCATTGGGACCAGTAACAGAACCATTCATATCAGTAACAGAACCATTCAGACCAGGAACAGAACCATTGGGACCAGTAACAGAACCATTCATATCAGTAACAGAACCATTTATATCAGTAACAGAACAATTCAGACCATTAACAGAACTGTTCAGACCAATGACAGAACCATTCAGACCAGGAACAAAACCATTCAGACCAGTAACAGAACCATTCTGACCAGGAACAGAACCATTCACACCAGGAACAGAACCATTCATATCAGTAACAGAACCATTTAGACCAGGAACAGAACCATTCAGACCAGGAACAGAACCACTGGGACCAGGAACAGAACCATTCATATCAGTAACAGAACCATTTAGACCAGGAACAGAACCATTCAGACCAGAAACAGAACCATTCATATCAGTAACAGAACCATTTAGACCAGGAACAGAACCATTCAGACCAGAAACAGAACCATTTAGACCAGGAACAGAACCATTCAGACCAGAAACAGAACCATTCATATCAGTAACAGAACCATTTAGACCAGGAACAGAACCATTGGGACCAGGAACAGAACCATTCATATCAGTAACAGAACCATTCAGACCAGGAACAGAACCATTCATATCAGTAACAGAACCATTAGACCAGGAACAGAACCACTGGGACCAGGAACAGAACCATTCAGACCAGAAACAGAACCATTCATATCAGTAACAGAACCATTTAGACCAGGAACAGAACCATTCCGCTTGTGGTGATGTTTGGTCCGGCTGGTCTGGTTGTCTGGACGGGATTGCCATGGCCAGTGATTGTCTCTAGGTCCGCTGCACTCGCCTGAACAAGGTCTCCAAAACCCTGTGTGTGTGTGTGTGTGTGTGTGTGTGTGTGTGTGTGTGTGTGTGTGTGTGTACCTCCTCTGGTTCCGTATCTGGAGTTCTGTCGGTGTGAAATGACAAAGACGATCCATCAGAGTCCACCGATGCTTCTTCATCATAACCATAAAACGTCTCCACGACCTGCACACACACACACACACACTGTGGTGTTTATGTAATTCAGACAGCAGCTGGTTCTTGTGAGTGAACAAGAGAACAGAGAACTCACTTACATCAGCAGCATAGTTCATAATGTACATAATGAGTACATAATCTGACTTACACAAAAACACACCAGCTTTGTAAAACTTTCAAATGTTAGTATACTGTTAATATAATACTTACACTGAACAAATTCTAAAGGCAACACTTTTGGAGTGGACTTTTATTGTGGCCAGCGTAAGGACTTTTATTGTGGCCAGCGTAAGGACTTTTATTGTGGCCAGCGTAAGGACTTTTATTGTGGCCAGCGTAAGGCACACCTGTGCAGTATCCACGCTGTCTGATCATCTTGATATGCCACACCTGTGAGGTGGATGGATTATCTCGGCAAAGGAGAAGTGCTCACTAACACAGATTGTTGACAGATTTGTGAAGAATATTTGAGAGAAATAGGCCTTTTGTGTACAAAGAGAAAGTCTTCGATCTTTGAGTTCAGCTCATGATGAATGGGGGCAAAAACAAAAGTGTTTCCTTTATAATTTTTTTCAGTGTATATAATGTTACCATATTCAATATAATTCTATATACTGTATAGTTTACCACTAGTATTGGCTTGATATTAATTCCAGTTCCAGCAGTTTAATTTTGTGGGTTGTTTTCATTCATTACATCCCAGAACATTGGTCTAATAATCACAATCATTCATGCAGAACAATTACGTTAGGTTGTAGTCTTTACTTGCACACTGTGCTCATAAATAATCTTTCCAGTTATTTTAGGGGCATATGTGCGTGAAATACTCTGAGGAGCCCTGCATCATCCAGCCTAGACCCCTCGTGCTGCTGTTCTTCTTCTTCTTGTTTTATTGGTGGCCGTTGTAAGGTGCGTTCGAGATGACTGCAGCTGACTTCTGCCGACTTGATAGTGAAATGTGAGCTGCAGGCGACTGTTGGAATAAAAATGGCGCCGTCACATTCTACCTGCATGAGCTAACTGTGAGTTGAAATTAATGACTGATCTTGTGTCATTTGCAAAGAAAAACACAGCGAGATCGGGAAAAAGCTTGGTTCCAAATTTGTGCAGCCAGAAAAAAGCAACTGCAGCCGCCTTTATCCTGCAAGGTTTTAATGTCATGTGACATGTTGTCATTTTGCAGCGCGGACACGATATTTAACCAGCATGCCTTATGTTAAGTCCAGCATGCATGACGTTAAGTCAGCGCTGCGCAGCGCTGCATGAAGTCAAACATTTCAAATACACTGTTTTTTGAAAAGTAAAAAATATGGGAGATTTATGGGGAGATATTTAAACGGGAGGACAGCAGGATAGAACATTAAAATACAGGAGAATCCCAGGAAAAAGGGAGGGTTGACAGGTATGATGTCTGCAGGTAGATTTAGATTTTTTATGTGCCAACATTAAGTTGGTCAACCCTAGCAGTAGTAGCAGTGTGGTGTGTAGTAGTGGTAGTACATGTGAAAAGACAAGGAAATGTGTTTAGAAACATGCGTTCAGTCTCACCCTGCAGGCTCTGAAGGTCCGTTTCCTCTTCACTGATTCCTGTCGTCTATATCTCAGTAACATGTCTCTCTCCTTAAGGACAGACAAACAGCAACAGGAGCAACATGACCGTTCATGTAGTGTTTGTGTCCAGTATTCTCTCTCTGTTAGCTCTGTGTTTTGTCTCCACCAGCTCCTGAGGGAAATATCTGGCTCTTCTAAATGCTGCTCTCTGACTAAGTCTGCTCATACATTATCACCTACATCAAACACAGTAACAGTTGTTGTAGTACTGACAATAGTAGAAGTAGTGCTACTCAATACTTACTATAACATTCTTTACATAACCCGCAGTCTCCAGAGCCTGAAAACAAAAACAAGTTTTTTTACTCAGAGGCAGCAGCAAAATTTGTACTTTGGACAGGCTGATGATATGTAGTATTAACAGTAGTAGTAGTAGTACCTTGGACATGTAATCAATTATGTGTTGGTGTTACTGTTGTTGTAGAATTAACGGTAGTAGTAGTAGTAGTAGTAGTAGTAGTATATTGTAAAGAGTATGGTGTAAACCTGCTCTATAAAAAACGTGCCCTGAGATTAACTCTGTTATGATTTACCACCAAATCAATAAATTGAACTGAAACTTGAACTGAATAGTATCAACAATAATATTTGTAGTAGTATTAACATTAGTAATAGAATCAGTAGTAGTAGCTCCTTGGACAGGTCGTCGATGTTGCGTTTGACAGTAGTAGTAGTAGTAGTAGTAGTACTACCTTGGACAGGTCGTCGATGATGTGTTGTTGCTCCAGAACTTGTAATCGTAGAAACTCCATCTCTCTCTCATCCTGGCTGTAACCATGGTAACTGGTGGAGTGGCTGCGGTCGAGGTCGTTTAAAGAACTCGGCCTCCGCTGTGGAAGTCAACACACACAGTGTTAATGTGGATACCAGACTGTGGTACCAGACTGTGGTACCAGACTGTGGACACACAGACTGTGGACACACACACTGTTACTGTGGTACCAGATTGTGGTACCAGACCGTGGACACACAGACTGTTACTGTGGTACCAGATTGTGGTACCAGATTGTGGACACACAGATTGTGGACCCACAGACTGTTACTGTGGTACCAGATTGTGGTACCAGACCGTGGACCCACAGACTGTTACTGTGGTACCAGACTGTGGTACCAGACTGTGGACACACAGATTGTGGACCCACAGACTGTTACTGTGGTACCAGACTGTGGTACCAGACCGTGGACACACAGACTGTTACTGTGGTACCAGACTATGGTACCAGATTGTGGACACACAGACTGTTACTGTGGTACCAGACTGTGGTACCAGACCGTGGACACACAGACTGTTACTGTGGTACCAGACTGTGGTACCAGACTGTGGACACACAGATTGTGGACCCACAGACTGTTACTGTGGTACCAGACTGTGGTACCAGACCGTGGACACACAGACTGTTACTGTGGTACCAGACTATGGTACCAGATTGTGGACACACAGACTGTTACTGTGGTACCAGATTGTGGTACCAGACTGTGGACACACAGACTGTTACTGTGGTACCAGACTATGGGTACCAGACTGTGGTACCAGACCGTGGACACACAGACTGTTACTGTGGTACCAGACTGTTAACACACTGTTTGTCAGTGACCGTCTGAAACCCCCTGCTGTCCATCTATCCATCCTCAATCATTTATCTGGGGTTGGGTCGTAGGTGCAGTGGCTCCAGCAAACCCCCTTTTCCCAAGCCACATTAACCAGCTCCTCCTGGGGGATCTCGAGGCATTCCCAGGCCAGTGTGGAGATATAATCTCTCAACCTTGTCCTGGGTCTTCCCTGAGGCCTCCTCCCAGCCTGGAATACCTTCCTAGGGAGGCACCCAGGGGCCATCCTTACCAGATGCCCAAACCACCTCAACTGGCTCCTTTTGACGCAAAGGAGCAGCGGCTCTACTCCCAGTTCCTCACGGATGACCTGGCTTCTCACCCTATCTCTAAGGGAGCGCTTCTCTGAACTTATCCCACAGCCTCTGCTTTGCCTCTTTCACAACAGAGTACTGTGAGGCAATGGGTACCTTGCAACCGTGTCCGGAGTCCTCCGGGATAACGTATCCTGAAAGGCCTCCTTCTTCAGTGAGATGTCTTCGCTGACCACCAGTGTCCACCACGGCGTTCAAGGATTACTGCCCCTTGAGGCACCTAAGACCACAAGAACACAGCTCCCCGCTGCAGTTTCAGCGATGGAAGCTTTGAACGTTGCCCACTCAGGTTCAATGCCCCCAACCTCCACAAGGATGCCATAAAAGATTTAAATCCCTCGGACAGGGGCCTCTTCAACATTCTCAGTTCACCCATGCAACTCATTTTGGCTTACCAGGTCTGTCCAGAGTTTTCTGCCAACCCCTGACCTAACTCACCACCAGATGGTGATCAGTTGACCACTCCAGCCTCTCTTCACCCGAGTGTCCAATACATACAGCCTCAGATCAGATAATACAAATCATCGATCATCGACCTTCTGCATTCCTCCCAATCACACCTCTGCAGGTGTATTCATCATTGCCCATGTGTGCGTTGGAGTCTCCTATCAGAACTATGGAGTCCCCTGTCAGAGCCCCATACAGGACTCCATTCATGGTCTCTAAGAAGGCCAAATACTCTGTTGTTTGGTGCATATGCATATGCAAATATGCAAAATAGGGCCCAGGTTTCAAAATACCGAAATGATCCTTGAACTGGTCCCAGTCTGGAAATTTAGATTTGACTGGGACGGAAACTACACCCAGTGTTTGTCAATGTGTTGTTGGGGAACAAGAATACAGTGTGAGGGGTTACCATAGTTACCATCTCCATGTTCTCCTGTGTGACGAAGCGAAGCTTGTTGTCGAGGCGACGCACCGTGAGAGCCAGCTCCTCATTTTTCCTGCTCAGACGTTTGTTTTTGTCCAAAAGAGGAAGGAATTGACTCTCGGTCTCTCTCAGACGCTTCAGCTGCAGGAGGTGAAGAAAATACAGAACATCAAGTGTTTATCTGTGTGAGAACCAGTTTTAGACTTTGGAAGTGAGAACATTTCTGCACTGCGAGGACATTTGTGCTGGTCTTCACTTTGGTTCTGACTTTAAGATTCAGGTAAGAAACAGGTTTGGGTTAGAGGCTGGGGAAAAAATTTGGTCAAGAAAAACAAATGTGTGTTACCAGTTCGTTGCGTTCTTCAGACAGAAGAGCATTTCGATCCTCCAGCTTTCTGACAACGGCGCTGAGCTCAGCGATTTTTAGCTGAAACCTCCGAGTGTCCCGGTCCTCTTGAGACTGCACAAACACACACACAGACTCCAGTGTGAGAAGTAGATGAACTACATCAAATTATATATGTTATAGTGTAGCGTGCTCCTGGTCCATACATAATTTTTATCTGAATTTGCACAGATTTGATAAATTTTTGTCCTTAAAAGTGATTATTGTAATTAAATGAAGAATCTCGTTTAATCTGGCAAGATATCTTATAATTTATAGGAAGGCCCTCCGTAATGCCAGAGCAGCGTACTACTCGTCATTAATAGAGGAAAATAGGAACAACCCCAGGTTTCTTTTCAGCACTGTAGCCAGGCTGACAGAGAGTCACAGCTCTATTGAGCCAAGTATTCCCATAGCTCTCAGTAGTTACGACTTCATGAGCTTCTTTAATGATAAAATTCTAACTATTAGAGACAAAATTCACCAAGACCTGCCCTCAACTGGCACCAACTTATCTCTAAACTCAGGAACCTTAGAAACAGCTGTAGAACCAGATATATGTTTAGACTGCTTTGCTTCCCTCAATCTTTACCAACTAATTTCAATAATTTCTTCATCTAAACCATCAACCTGCCTCTTAGACCCCATCCCGACTAGGCTGCTTAAAGATGTTCTACCCTTAGTCAGCACCTCTATACTAGATATGATCAATCTATCTTTATCAACAGGCTATGTACCACAGTACTTTAAAGTAGCTGTAATTAAACCTCTTCTGAAAAAGCCCAAACTTGATCCGGATGTTTTAGCCAACTATAGACCTATATCTAACCTTCCATTTCTCTCTAAGGTTCTGGAGAAAGCAGTTGCTAAACAGCTGTGTGACTTTCTACAGAGCAATAGTTTATTTGAGGATTTTCAGTCAGGATTCAGAGCTCATCATAGCACAGAGACAGCACAGGTGAAAATTACTAACGACCTCCTTATTGCATCAGACAAAGGACTTGTCTCTGTACTGGTTTTATTAGATCTTAGTGCTGCATTTGATACCATTGACCATCAGATCCTATTGCAGAGACTGGAACATTTCATTGGCATTAAAGAGGTCATATTATGCTTATTTTCCGGTTCAAAATCTTATTTAGGGGTTGTATCAGAACTGGTTTACATGGTTTAATTTTCAAAAAACACCATATTTTTGTCATACTGCACATTGCTTCAGCTCCTCTTTCCACCCTGTGTTGAACGCTCCGTTTTAACTATGGAGTGATACATCTTGTCTCTAGATGATCTTTGTTGGGAGTTGCACATGCGCTGTTCCTAGTTAAGGACTACTAGCCAATCAGAAGCAAAGAAGGGCGGGTCAGTGAGAAGCCGGTAAACAGCTTCGGTTCAGCTGTACATGTTGCCGACCAGCTTGGCAACATGGACTGGAGCAAGAGTTTCAGAGTGGTGAGTTATTAATCTGTAACAAAAGTATCTTTCATCCATAAACCTTTTAACTGAGCTCTGTCTCTACATCACAGTAACAACTTTATGTTCACTGACTGCCTGGAGGGGTAGCTAGTGTTTGGAAGGGAGAGGAGGTGTGTGCTGCAGCTTACTGTTTTTCCACCGGTGTTTTTGAAAGTGTGTCGGACTAGCCGCTTGAAAGGGAAGCGGTTGGACTACAAACGAGCAAACAAACGAGTTTTCTGTGGGAGATGGGAATCCCCTTTGCGGTGGACTTTGGGCTTTTTCACTGTGCAAACCTATTACATGCACAAAAAAGATACATAACTCAATAAAGGAGATAGAAAAAGCCAAAAAACATAATATCACTACTTTAAAGGAACCGCTCTAAGATGATTTAATTCCTAAATATGAGATGGATCTCAGTTTGTACATGTTAATGATCCTCCATGCAAGCCAAGGATCTGTGCTGGGACCAATCCTATTCACACCTGTACATGCTTCCTTTAGGCAATATTAGCAGGCTCCATAAACTTTCATATTATGCAGATGATACACAAATATATGTTTACGTCAAGCTAGATGAAACTAATCAGTTAACCAACTGAGCGTGCCTTCACCAACGTAATATTGCAAAAATCAGGAACATCCTTTCACAAAATGAAAAAGTAGTCCACATATTTGTTACTTCTAGGCTGGATTACTGCAGTTCCTTATTATCAGGCTGCTCAAATAAGTCCATTAAGACTCTTCAGCTGGTCCTGAATTCTGTAGCACATGTTCTGACAGGAACCAGAAATAGGTTCCTAGAGTCTCCAAAAGTAGAATGGGAGCCAGAGCCTTCAGCTATCAAGCTGTCAAGTACTGTGACATACTGAAGCAGAGCATGAGCCCCTCCCTTCAGAGTCTGGGCCGCAGGGCAGCATTCCAATATGATAATGACCCCAAACACACCTCCAAGACGACCGCTGACTTGCTAAAGAAGCTGAGGGTAAAGGTGATGGACTGGCCCAGCATGTCTCCAGACCTAAACCCTACTGAGCCTCTGTGGGGCGTCCTCAAACGGGAGGTGGAGGAGCGCAAGGTCTCTAACATCCACCAGCTCTGTGATGTTGTCATGGAGGAGTGGAAGAGGACTCCAGTGGCAACCTGTGAAGCTCTGCTGAACTCCATGCCCAAGAGGGTTAAGGCAGCGCTGGAGAATAATGGTGGCCCCACAATATATTGACACTTTGGGCCCAATGTGGACATTTTCACTTAGGGTGTCCTCACTTTTATTGCCAGCGGTTTAGATATTAATGGCTGTGTGATGTGTTATTTTGAGGGGAGAGCAGATTTACACTGTTATCCAAGCTGTACACTCACTACTTTACACTGTTATCCAAGCTGTACACTCACTACTTTACACTGTTATACAAGCTGTACACTCACTACTTTACATTGGCGCAAAGTGTCATTTCTTCAGTGTTGTCATATGAAAAGATAGAATCAGATATTTACAAATGTGAGGGGTGGACTCACTTTTGTGAGATACTGTATTTTACACATGGACATGGCACAGTGAGGATCACACAGCTTCTAATGTTGAGAGACAAGCCCAGGGCCATGCAGGTGAACACCCCACTTGTGTCCTGAATAACAGATTACCTGACCGACCACCGTTTGTAAGACTGTGGAACTGCGTGTCAGGAACTGTAATTAGCAGCATGGGGCCCCCAGGGGACCGTCATCTCCCCCTTCCTGTTTATTCTGTACACCTCAGACTTCAGCTAGAAGTTGGAGTCATGCCACCTGCATTGTTTTTTTGATGACTCTGCCATTGAGGGCTGTGTCAGTGGACAGGAGGATGACTTTGTTGGGTGGTGCAGATTGCCAGTGCGTCTGTGTGTCAAGAGATGCTAACAAGCTCAACAAGCTAGTTAGGAAGGCTGGCTCTGTGATTGGTGAGTTGAGCTGGACTCTCTGGAGGCAGTGACAGAGAACAGGATGCTGTCCAAGTTGGTTAGCATCCTGAACAAAGTCACCCCCCTCCACAACATGCTGATTGACAAGAGGAGTGTCTTCAGCCAAAGACTTAAACCCCCAAAGTGTTCCAAAGTGTTCGAGTTTAGTAACTCATTTGATAACTAAAAGACGGGCAGTAACACGCGTGAGCTCACATATCTAAAGTTCCAGGGAAAGCTCCAGCAGTGGTGGAGGATACCACTGCAGTTTTTCATTGGTGCACTTCACAGGATCTATTAAAGGCCCAATCTCAATGTCCCCCCTAAACCCTGAGCCCTGATTCCTCACAAACTTAACCGACATCACCTGGTAATTGACTTCTTCACGGCCAAAGCACTGAAGGGCCCTACAGAGAGGATGAGAGGTAAAAAATAATCATCTATATTTGTCATTAATCAATGCACTATTGGTCTAAACAGCATCATTAAGCAAAAACTAAAATAAATAGTTTAATAAACGAGGTGTGAAATAATCTTAAATCTATGTAAACTTTTTCAAGGTTGGTTCTCCTTCCACGCATGTTTGTTTACCATTCTTCTTCTTCTTCTCTCATAAGGCGGTGATCTTTCTCTCACTCCCGGATTTCCATTATTTACTAGTATTTTTATTAAACCTTTATTTAACCAGGCAGGGCACTTCTTATTTATGTCACTATGAACTGTGGATAATTCCCTCAGGCAAAGGGTGCAAAAAAGGCTCAGAATGTCAACAATGTGGACAATTTGACAGTGGGACAGCCCTAAACCCTCACGGACTCACCGGGAACGCACCTCAAAGTCTGTGAGTGTGGACATGGAGATTGGGCCAAACACCTGGTCACATGACCTTTTCTGATTTTATAGGTGTTGAGGATGAGTGAGTAGTGGATTGTGGGATACTGAGGACTAGAAGATCCACCTCTGTTTGGATGGTTCAGTCCTTGTCAAGCAGTGGTCATGTGTTTGATGATGTTGAGGAGACTGAAGTTGGATGTCATGGTAAACTCAGAGGTCAGAGTTCATCATGACCAGTTAACATGCAGTTGCAGTTAAACTGTGACAGCAAGTGAACTGAATTTATTTCATGCAACTTGAGCAGGAAGAGGCGGGGCTTACAATGTGAGGAGGAGTGTTAGGGGTTGGGCTAGGGGCTTGGCCAGGATGGTTTAGCCCCACCCTCTGTGCGTCTCTCAGGGCTGCGATTTGCTGCTCGGCAGCCTGAGTCTGCAGCTGGAGGCGGTGGGCGTGTCCAGCCTGCAGCCCCAGGGCTTTATCCAATACACTGACAGCTCTGTCCTTCAGCTTTATCTCATCCATCTGCACACAGACAGGTAGACAGACAGGTTAGAGACAGACAGGTAGACAGACTGGTGTAGGGACAGACATGTTAATCAGGACAGGGTTAGTCAGGCAGACAGGCAGGTGGAAACACAGATTAGTCAGAAAGGTGTTACGCAGACAGACAGGTAAGGGAAGGTGAATATAAAATCAAACCAGGGAACATGAACCTGTAGCTCAGGTGAATAATTCTCCTTCTGTCTTTTCTTCATCACGTCTCATGATCTTGTTCTTAATCTATATATATTTACTGAAATATATTTCAGTGTTTAATATTCAGAGTCAGTTGGTCTGCTGTGAATCTCCAGGTGAGCCACCGTCTACCTGAGTGACCACCACCATCAGATCAGTATACAGCCTTCTCTAGACCTGTTACAGCTGGGATCACAGGGCCAAGATTGGGACCCTGGTTCCCTGACACAGGTTTAAATCATTCCTTACTAACTGCTAAGATAGCAGAACAATTAGTGAAAGATCAGAACGACCAGAGGCAGGACACCATAATGAGGTACTGGAAAGAGGTCTTTATGGGTCCAAAGTCTTGGATCTGATCCAAAATGGACCAGAGGAAAACCTACTCAAACCTGATGCATGAATTCATTTTCAAAAACAGAGAGACCCAACGGGTACCTGAGCACAGCCAGACTAACCCCCACAGAACAATGGATAATCAGACTCAATCCAAAACGCTATGGACGCGAACAGAGAGAGAACGCCGACACCAGGAGCACCAAGAGCACCAGGAGCACCAGGAGCACCAGGAGCACCAAGAGCACCAGGAGCACCAAGAGCACCAGCACCAAAGCACCAGAGCACCAGGAGCACCAAGAGCACCAAGAGCACCAGGAGCACCAGGAGCACCAGGAGCACCAGGAGCACCAAGAGCACCAGGAGCACCAGGAGCACCAAGAGCACCAGAAGCACCAGGAGCACCAGGAGCACCAGGAGCACCAAGAGCACCAAGAGCACCAAGAGCACCAGGAGCACCAGGAGCACGCAGCGGTATCATAAAAATGTCCTCAGAACAAATGTAAAGTCACAGAAACTAATTCAAAAAATCATTTTCTTATACTCCAGAGACAAATTAACTGACATTAGCAAAAATCATCTCCATTTCTGTCTTCAGAGTTCCTTTTCTTTCTCCTGCTGGGATTATGATGTAATCAGATATAATCAGAGCTCAGACGGCTCGGGTCCACTCAGATCCACTTGGGTACTAGACATATTTACACATAGTAAAACGAGACCCTGCCACCGACTAGACTAACTAATAATACCTTGGGACCTGATTGACTTGGGTCCAAGGTTGGATGACCGGCAAAGACCTCTCCTACTGGACCGAGCTGTGTATCATATGGTAGTTCGTTAAGAGACAAAATGTATGGTTGGTTTTAATTTCAGGTAATTAATCAGTAGTTTCTTTCTCCTCCAAGTTACCTGATGTCGTCTCTGTGTTCTGAGTACATTTGACTCAGTCTAGATGCAGCTGGTGTTGTTTATGTCTTGGGTTTGACTTTTGTTGCCGCAGGCCAGTGTACTTTTTTGATGTATTATTAAAAATGTTGGACTGGATCTTCTCTGTCCTGTTGTGTGCATCCATCCTTTGTGTTGCCTGTATCCAGTTTGGCAAGCTGTGACAGTTTAACACTTAAACAGGCTGCTGGTCTTCAGGAGTACTTGTTAAAAACAAAGTAATCTGTCTGCCTCACGTCTTTACTTCAGTCTGAATGAAAAGCTTGTCTTTTAAAGTTACTGCTGAAACACAAATTACTGGTAGTATTTAATAAAAACAGCAGCTGTTTCCTACTTTCCCCAACAAATACACATAAAGTGAAGTGTGAGACAGTTCAGTCTGTAAATACAGAGTATGTTTTGTTTGTTGGGCTGTTTGTGTTGTACCAGTCTGTGTTGCACCCTGAGTCTTTCCTTTGTTTTGTACCACACTGTGTAGCTCAGTCAGTCTTTGTTGTCTCATGTGTTCATGTTTATAATGTATTCATTCATCACAGTTCATCACTGGAAGAAACTCCACGTTTAATGTTTGGATCACCGCATTCTTCCTTCTTTAACTTCTCTAATCATAAAGCTAAACCAAAGTTCAATTTTAGAGAATTAGGTACGTGAGAACAGTGAGAAAATTAAAACAAGCCTCTCCCAAAGTACATTCCAGTCTAATGTTTCATATCTGTTTAGTTTGTGTGATTCATTCTCCACTGTCCAGTGATGTTTTACTACAGGTTAATCATTTTATTAGTAGATTGTACCAAGAAGGATGATCATGCTACTACCACAGGGTCACCCATGAGTCGGTCTGCATGTCCACTGAACTTTGGTCCAGAGCCACTGGACGGCAAATGTGTTCACAGTTATTATGGGTTTTTTATGGCTTTTATTCTTCTGGAAAAAACACACATGTATTTATTTTTTGTACCAATAATAATTTTAATTTAAGGGCTGCAAACAATTAGTTTTAACATATTTTATCCTACCATTTCTAAATACAACAGTAATTTTACCAGGTAATCCGGTCATGGCCCTGAAATTAGCTTTGTTTATTTATTGCAGCTAACAATTATTTAATGTGCAATTAAAGACATAAAAAAGTTGGTCTTAAGAGCATTTCTGGTTTGATGAATAATTCTGACAGGCAGCTGAGATACTGTATTCCAAGTTAATCAGCACTGGAGAGTTGTGCAAACCATCATCTCCACTGTTACTGGAGAGTTTGTTTGTTTGTGAGCTGATTGGATCTTAACTCAACTGCCATCTAAATATACTTTTCAAAATATGCTTTCATTGTTGTATTGTGAGCAGGTCGTTTTGCGAATTACCCTTCTACCCCAGACAGGATTAGAATTAAATCTTCTGTATAATTCTCAGTCCTTTAGTCTCTGTAATACACATGGGAAATCAGCAGAACAAAGACAAAAGAGAAAGGTAAAGGCCTCCCCAGGTGGGCAACAAAGAGTTAATAAACCTTCATAAATAAACTTAGAAATCAAAATATGCTTCAGAACATGCCTGAGAGTCGTCATGCTTCTAAGTTTTCCTCAGCATCACAGTAATCCAGTGACAGCTGTCTGTACACCCATGGGTGCACTGCTAACAGCTAATAAAGCTGCTTTCAACAGGGACAGTTTGACTAAATGTAAACACATACAGGCTGTGGCTAACATCACAACAGCATAAAGATGAATGCTCTGGACAGGATTAATATTTCAGGAGGACCAGCCAGTTCACAGATAACAGCTGGTCATTAAGGCTGTAATTATTACTGGGGTGGGGGTGAAACATTACCCACAGACACGCTCCTGATTCTGGGATTAAAATCAGTGGCCAGAGCAGGTAATGTTAAATTCACCCCACCTACCCTGCAGACATAAATCCAGTCTGACAGAAAACCTAATGAACCTAAAAGTCAGGACTCACAAAAATATCATTTTTAGGAGTTTAGGAGTTAAGGCTCCTCTTTAGGAGGTTTTGTAAATACAGTCTGAGGTTTATAAGGCATTCTGATTATATTTGGGGAAACTCATGAAGCAGCTACAGACTGAACGGTCATGTGTGGTAAGAGTGGTGTGTGTGACGGTGACTCGTACCAGCCGCCGGATCTCCCTCTCACAGTCTCTCTTGGTCCTGTTCAGCTCCTCCTGGTGTTGGTGATGAGCTGATCGCAGTTCGGCAGCTCGGGCCTGGCAGGCCTGCTGAGCAGATGTCAGAGCCTCCTCAGCGTTCCTCTTTGCTCCTCGCAGCTCATGAACCTCCTGCTGGAAGCGACAACGCTCCGCCTCCCAACTCCTCCTCGCCTCCTCCACCTCCGCCAGCAGAGCGCTCCTCACCTGAAGAACAAGAGGACAGAGAGTCTTAAACATTCCTTCACACCTTTGAGAATCAGCACATTAATGTGGTGGGATCTGTGTTGTTGGGGGCAAGAGCTCCTGGTAACATCACCCAAGGCAAATCGGTCCCAAGAAAGGGGTCAGACCAACATTTCAGAACCCTTACAGAGCAGCAACTTCAGAAGGATAAGATCAATCAGGACCCCTCTGATACCAGGCCAAGTAGGGGGAGCTTGCCAGTGGGTGCCTGGTGGCCCATCACTTGCATTGTTGGACATGAGGTCTGTTGCCAATCAAGCAGCTGGTAAAACTGGGGACCACCCAGACTACAATGATCTAGGAATGTTGAACATCACCTCTCTGGTGTGGAAAGAGCTGGTGCAGGAACAACTAGATATAGTTGAGCCTCACCTCTAAACAAAGCCCCCCCAGTTGGGGGCTGGACTCTATCCTTTTCCAGAATAGCCCAAGGTAAAAGGCTATGGTCATGGGAGGGTGCTGCCTTGAGACTGCATAGTCCTGCTGGGGGTCTTCTGTGCTCACATGGGTAGCCTGAGTGGTGCCTTGTTATTAGACTTACTTGTGAGTCATTCACTTTCCATAACAAACACCATTATTGAACATAAGGCGATTCATAAGGGCTGCTGGAACCAGAACACCTGACTTGTTTCATTTTTAAACATCAGATCTGCAGTCCTATGTTGTATGCAGGGATAGTGGAGGAGTCATGGGAGTTTTCATCCAGTCCACATGTGTTAAGCGGTTTATGACCATGTCCGTCTTGTGTACTGTGAGCGTTACCATGAGTCATTCAGTCCTTGTATAAATGGAGTGAAAGCTGTGTGTGTTTCTCAGCAGGAAGTCCAACATGTCCTCAGTGGGGTTGTTTGTGTCGCAGAATCGGAAGCTGCAGTCGAGGTGTGGAGAGTGTCTGGATGGTGACCTCAGGATTGTGTCTCTGCTCTTTGCAGATGACATGGTCCTGTTGGTCTCCTTCAGTGAGCACTGGGACAGGTTACAACTGAGTGTGAGACAGCGCCTCCCAGTCTGAGGTACATGCTACTCCAGACTGATGTGAATCTCAACCGAAGTGAAGCAGTAGTAACTCAGGGTATTGTTCACCAGTGAGGGCAACGGGTGGATTGGTGTATCATCAGCAGTGATGTGGACTGGAGTCTGTTGTGGTTCAGAGGGAGGTGATCTTGACTGAAGGTGACGCTCTGGCTTCAGCACAGGATCTGTTCCTGACCTCAACTGTTGTCCTGATCTCTGGAGAATGACTGAAAGATTGAGATGGTGGATTCAAGCAGCTGAAATTAGTTTCTTTGTCAGGGTGTCTGGCCCTGGTCTTAGAGACAGGATGAGGAGCTCAGAGGAGAACCACTGCTCCTTCATGTTGAAAGGAGTCAGCTGAGGTGGTTCAGCATCTGATCAGGATCCTCCTGCATGCTTCCCTGTGGAAGAGGAGACCCCGGGGCAGACTAAGATTAGGGATTAGGGAATACTTCTACTAACAGTAGTAGTAGTAGTCGTCATCTGATTTATTAGAAGTAAGAAGAGAAGGGAAATTTGGACAAATGGAGGACCACACGTATTATTTAGAACAAGAGCTGACAGAGCATGTCGGACACCATAGCTTCTCCTGCACGCCTGTAAATGGAGGGGTGAGCGGTGACTGAGCTGTTGGTTGCAATTCTCGAGCCACACCACTAGATGCCACTAAAATCTATACACTGAACCTTTAACTAAAAACAATCAATGATGACTTTTTGTTTCACATGGGAAAACGAACAGCAGTTTCGTGGGTGAACGTTTGGTTTCTGTCCCACCCGTCCACCCCAACCAACTTCTTACTGTTATTTATATCACACCTGCTTTTAGTGTTGACACCACAGGGCTTCCCCCGGTGCACTGAACCATGACACTAAGGGGATCCCCAGTGCGTTACAAACTGACACCAAAGGGTCTGACCATGCGTCCATATGTGATTGGTTGGAATGGGGCGTGGCAGAGGCAGGTAGACAGACAGGTGTGAATCGGGTGGATCACCTTGTCTGTGGATCCGTCCCTCAGCGTTAGCACCAGTCCATTCAGACGCTGAATCTCTCCGTCTTTGATCTTGATAACTCTCATCAGCTCCATCTCGTGTTGCCTTAACAACGTCTCCCTGGTAACAGACAGCTCTTTCTGCTTCTCCTCGTGGAGTTTGGTCTTCAGCTCCGTCATGGCGACCGTCGTCCGGTGATGCTCCGCCTTCAGTTCCTGACTCTTCTCTCTCTCCAGACGGCTGACCTGAGGACACACAGTAATATGAGTACTACAACATCAACAGTAGTTTTATGTTAGTAGTGTTGGTACTACAGGAGTAGAAGTGTTAATGGTAATCCCAGCAGTACTCTGGGTTTTGTAGTCCTTACCTTGTTCTTTTCCTGTTGAAGTTCTATCTGGATGTCCGTCAGTTTGGCTCTCAGTTCCTCATTGCTGCTTGAAGAGTTGCCATGGCGTCAGGTCGCTCCCCCTTTCCCCGCCCCCCTGCACCTCTCTTTGACATCACCACCACCTACAGGCTCCACCTCCACAATGACCTGTCCGTCAATCTGAAGTTTCACCACATCTGCACCTGTCGACACACAGATACACAACCATGATGTCATCACCTACTAAATCAACCAATCACAGTGCTTTCTGATCTGAGACCAGGTCAGGGATTGGTTAGGTTAAAACTTATTCTCACTTCTATTTGAGGGATCATCTCCAATAACTCATTTTCCTCCATTCCCAGTCATCTGACCTTTAAAACATGATGATTCTCAGGAAAATTCAACATGGAGAGCACCTGTAAAACTGACCCAATGCATAGATGCAGCCCAAGGTGCTCAACAAAACAAGGTCAGATTAAAAGCTGAAAAATGAACAATAATGATGAGTAAAATATAAACAGCAACGGCAATAGAAAAACAAACAGAAGCAGTTTGAGAAAACGTATAATGAAAAATTATACCAGCAATCCAACCCAAATTAAAAGCCAAGTTAAAAAGATAGGAGGATTGTTCTTTTAAGGTTGAAGGGGGGTTCCACAGTTCAGGGTCATGAACGCAGAAAGCAGCCTCACCACATGTCTTGTGGGAGATCTGAGAGTTCTTGTTGTTGATATGAGAGTGCTAGTTTATGTAAGGCTTTGTAGATAAGTAAATGACTCTAAAAGCAACTGACTGACTTTTTAGGGAGACCTGTCTAAGCTGATGAAACGTGTATCAGCATTTCAGTGTTGCCTTGTTAAAAATGGCTAATAAAATTAAGAACAGAGTCTAAAACAGCTCCCAGGTCTGTAACATGTTGTCATCTGCTTAGACAGGCTAGAAAACACTGACTCTAGTCTCTGCCTTCTTCTTCTGGACTGCCGAATTTCTATTTTCTGCACTGGAGCTTTCTGGTCGCAACAGAGATATATGAATAGGGGAAAAATGAGCAGGACCAAGAAAGCTTCCTGGAGAAACACAAAGTCAAAGTCGCCTAAAGTAACAAAAAAACCATTCAGACAGGTATGAGCGAAACCAGTGAGCCACCCCTTTCTCAAGTCCATTGATTAAAATGTCCCAATCAGTGGACTCGCATGCAGCATCAAATGTAACAGACAGACAGATTTAATTTCAGTTTGAAATCCTCATGTCACCTTTTCATAAAGCGGGTTCAGTGCTGCGTTTAGCTCTGTGGCTGGACTGGAATTTATCTAGTTTATCATTGGTGGTGGTGATTATCTCAGTGGATAAGACACAGGCCTTTAGTGTGAGAGACCCGGGTTCAAATCCACTGTGAGACTCCAATGTGTCCCTGAGCAAGACACTTAACCCCTCGTTGCTCCAGACATGTATATACATGTACACATATGTATTGTAAGTCGCTTTGGATAAAAGCGTCAGCTAAATGAATAAATGTAAATCATTGGAAAGCAGCATCTATATCAGTAGAAGTACTAGTAGTTCCCGTACTAGTAGCATCAGCAGCAGTAGAAGTAGTATTAGTAGTACCCATACTAGTAGTGGCACCAGTACTAGTTGCCGTTGCTCTGCAGCAGTACATGAAAACGCTTCCTGAATCACCTGAAAATGATCACCTGTGTTTGACAGGTGATCATCTGAGGTGAACACGGCAATACATGACTGTTTCCACGGCAACACCATTACCACTGATCACACACACACACACTGACAGTTCAGGCCTAACTGAACATACACACATACGAAAAGATGCAGATTACTCACCGTCCAATAGGAAGCCCTGGACACCGCATTGCTGTGTGTGTGTGTGTGTGTGTGTGTGTGTGTCAGTATGTTAGCCTCCTATCCTAAGCATGCTAACCAGCTAGCTTCACTGCAGCTTACTGTATGTCAGTGTGTGTGTGCTACCAGCATCAGCCTCCCTCCACTTGTCTGTCTGTGTCTGTCTGTCTGTCTGTCTGTCTGTCTGTCTCTATTAGCACTTAGCAGTTAGCTCCTGGCAGTGTGTGTTTGTGTGTCGGTGCTGTTAGCATCTCTGCAGCCTCTGCTGGCGTCATCCTCCTCCTCCTCCTCCTCCTCTCAGCATCCTTCTGTGTGACACAGAGCTGAACTATCAGAGCTATGTCTCCCTCTGCTGGAAGCTCACCATCATTACGTCTCCAGGGTTGGTGGTTCAGTCCCTTCCCCCTCCTGTTGATGTGTCCTTTGGCAAGATCCAGATCTGTGTGCATCCGCGGGGTATGAAGCACATTTAATCAGCAGATTAGCAGCACCTCAAAGGTCACGTAACGCCATCATAGAACTGTTCTGTAATGTGTGGGCCGGCTGTGGCTCAGGGGGCTCTCCAGGCTGCAGGTCCTTGGGTAAGATACTGATCCTGAGCACTTAGGCTCAGTGTATGAATGAACGTAGTGTAAAAGCACGATACAAAGATACAGATACAGACAGGGGAATTTAAATTACAGAAAGATGCCTCAGGTTCTTTAAACTGAAGATCAGGCACTGGTGAGAACTTTCACATTCTGTAGTACTTCCAGCCACAAGAGGGCATCACTCAGTAACAAACCTCACAAGGTTACTGCAACTGTTTGACTCTGATAAATGTCTTCTTTTTGATGCTTCAATGTTCAGGGTGGTTCCCTAGAATGAAGATTCACTTAGAAACTATGAGATTTGTAGTGATTACCGCTTGTGAAAGTGACATCAAATGAATTACACATTCACAATGACGTTTGCCAATTTAAAGGTTTGTCCCTCCAGAAAGTGGCAGTTGTTGTTAAACAGTGAAGCAACATTTGGTTTTGTAAAACGCTCAGAGGACAACATGTACAACCTGGTATTCTATCTGACTGAAGTATTTAAAGCTGGCCATTTGTTTTACCTTCATTAAAAACAGCTTTATAATGGTGGGGGTAGTTTTAGGCCAACCTGTG